AAAGCCCCACATGTCCTGACCTCATTTATAGCAAACTATATTGACATTTCATGTAAGTGGAGTAAATCCAACTTCACAGTAGCACATAATAAGAGAGGATCATGTCTTTTTATAGTTCCAATTTCTAACTTCTTCAGCAGTGTTGTAATGCAAATCCAAACCACAAATACCCACTTTCTCTCCTTATCTCTCCTCCCCTGGTATCACATGTGAGCATATTCATTATCTGGCCCTTTTCCAAAAAGCTGTTAGCCCGGGCTCTACATGTAGGACTGTGGTAATTCACCCTTCCTGCCTTCTCACGTCACAGCATAGCTCAGCCTGAGGATCCTAAAGAGCTTGGTGCTTCAGACAAGCTGCTCTTGAAAACACTGTTTCTTACACCTGCCCAAAAGTGATCGGCCTCAACATCCAGCATTACAAGAGGCCTTCGACCTATACAGCGTGTTGACTTCCTTGTTGACCACAACCCAGTTATATCAATTAGTACCTCCCCTGGCACCATTTACAAAGGCCAACCTGTGGGACCTACGCACAATGGCTCTCCAGTAGAATTTAGTAAGAGCTGGGCACCTGGAAACCACCAGCTTTTTTTAATGCCACGTTCTTCGCTTTATCTATGTTTGGCTTGGCAAATTTTCTCCAAGAAACAGGCTTATTAGCAGCTTTCCTCCCATTAAGAGTACCACAGGTGTACACTTGGTATGGTTTCGGAATTACAAAATATAGAGTAGTTTGTTGCTCGGAGGTGTAGGAGTGATGGGCTGCAGCAGATTTCTCACAGAGAACAGTGCATATTTTGTGCTATATTGGGCTTTGATTTGTCAGAACTTACACTGGCTGACAGATGGGCGAGGGGGAGATTGGGAATCAATGCCTGCTGCTTTTGGTAGATATAAGTGGGTTTTCCAGGTCTCTCTTTTTCAGGGTCTAATACTGCCAGTCAGTAAAATGTAACAAGGAAAACCAAGTTTCCTCTTCCTCAGTTCAAGTTTCTTCCAGTTCTTCTAATGACTAGACTGGATACCTGACTGACTTTAAGAGAAGATTTTGTCCGGCTTAATTTACAAAGTTATCTTGTCTATCTGCTACTATTTCAGGGTTATCTGTTTCCTTCCCTAGGAAAAACTAGCAGGGGTAACTCTTCCCTTCATCCAGATTTCATTTTTCCCAGACTTCTTGCAAGACTGAATTCTGTATGTTCCAGAGAAAAGAGACTTTCCACTGAAGTAACTGTCCTCTCTGATGCTACCTTACGAACATGCTGCGTCCCACCAAATTTTAGATCTCCACAAATCCAAAGCAGGAACCACTTCCACGCTTCCCTAGTATCAGCACAATCTCATTTTGCAGCTCCGTTGCTTCATACCTCTTGCAACTGCAGTGCACAACGCAGCGAGTCAGTGACAGGATTTATAGTGACTCTTCCCGCATTGCCAAAATATTACACATCTTAGAACTTCTGCACATCTCACAGAAAAGGGAGATGCTACCTGCTGGATTCCAAGTATGCATTAAAATATATCAGAGCAAATGGAACACATAAACCAGACGTTATACTGAATGGATTTGAACCAGAGGAACACGATGTGTCCACAACCACAGATTTCCTCCTTGAATTTAATAGAAAGGAGCTGCTACTTTTACTTCCAAAGCCAGGAGCAGGAATTCGAATTGCTGGGTGACTGAGATCTTCCCCAGAGCATCGGTTCCTTGTAGAAAATATGTAGAAAATACTACTTTCCCAAGACATGAACAGCTGAATACTTCCGAAATTCTCATATAGTTCTCACATAAACAAACACAGGTGAATCTCAGTGTATGATCATCAGGATTTAGGGAATCTTACTGGAGAGCTCCAATAGCCCTTTTGTTATTTGTGGGCTGCTGTTAAAAAAAAAATATATATATATATATATTCTTGGAAATCTTTTTGTTTAATTTGAAACATTTTCAGCAACATAAGGGTTGCATAAAACCGAGTGTTGCAACTTTAAAATTGTTTCTGAATTCATCTGAGATCAACGTGCCACTGGGTATTGTATAGAGAAAAGTTATGTTCTCACCAATTAGGTTTTACCACCTTTTTCATAAACTTTTTTTTTTTTTTTTTTTTTAAGAGGAACCTTGAGGAAAAAAGGTTCATCTATAGCATTTGCAAGATTATATAAATTTTTATGTGCAGCTTTAATACATTTCTTTAATACAAGCACTTAGCCCAGCAAATCCGCAGGATTACTGATTCAACAGGTATGTGAAAGATGGGAGAGGGTCCATCCCACGTAGATATGAACTCACTTGAGGAGTTATAAAGTTATTTATAGAAGCTGGTCAGGTAAAAGCTGAGATAAAAGTAGTAAGGGCTGAGATAAAAGTAGTAAGGGCTTGTTAATTGAATATTTTAACACTTCCAGAAATAAAACTACTGAGTTAAAGATGAACCAACCTAGGGCTGAAGCTTGTCCTCCTGCCAATTTTTGTGATTCACCATACCAGCCCAGCATCTGCAAAGAGCAAGGCTTCATTTGGCAAAGTTATTAAGCACACGCCTGGCTTCAAACTGATTCACGGATGAACTAGCTCAGTGAGACGATTCTTTTCTCATAGAAATGAGGCATTTACTATTTCAGACTTCTGGAAACAACCTAACACATTAAGCGCTTTGTCAAGGGCTAAACCAACTAGCATAAAGATGGCCTCCAAAGCTCAGTACTGAGCAACTCCTTCAACTTGCCATTGTTAGAATTCCCCAGTTTCTTTGGAAGGGGAAGCCACAGTTTTATTCTTGTTGCCCTGTGGTGAATGACTCCTTTTACCTGTGGTAGAAACACAGTATCCTCATGGATAGGTGCTGGGGACCCCAAAATGTGTAAGTATTGATTTCATTCAGGTCAGGGACTCACCTTCTGTGGCTGGAACTTCCAAAAGCAAGACTGCTCATTTGCCATATTTCCTGGATTTCTCTCTGGTAGGTGACACTTTTGAATCTTTTTAACTGCAGAGATAAGAGGAAAAAGTAGCTGATAAGAGAAGATCAAATGTAATTCTTGTACTTCTGTGGTACACACCAGGTCATCTACAACTCCAGTGTTTCACGCACAATGGAAAGATATTAACAAGCATTTTCTTCTTTTGTTTGTTTTAGTGCTTTTAGTTCTGGAAATAAAGATTTCCCATTCTGACTATAAATAAAAAACCTTCTTTATTTGAGGCTTTTACTCCTCCCCTACAAGCACAACTGATATGATATTCTCTCCTCTGATGTTTGAGAGCAAGATTATAGAAACATCTGCTTCAGGCTACCTACCCAGGAACTCTGGGGTGACAATGTCGTGGTCTTTCTGCAGTTGGTGTAAAAACAGCTTCTTGGGAATCTTCATGGGCTGTGAGGAATAAAAGCACAATATTAAAACAAGAAACTTTCAGAAGAACATTTCATGGAGGTGGAACTGGGACTATCAGGAAATCTCTGTCCTACACAGAGGTAATCTCAACTTCCACGAGACCATTTTCTACAGCAGCCTTAATTCAGTGTCCAATTTCGGGTATATTAACTCTGTCTTCAGGAAGTGTTTCTACATCATTGGGTTCTATTGGCTTTGAGTGGAGCTAAGGATGCTCAGAGACTCAAGCTAGGAATCCAGAACAAAAATCCTCTTTAACTTTCAACCTTTACCTGTGTGTGGGTATTTCTTTAGCTAACGGGCAAATAAAAGCATCTCCGACACAGAGATTTGCCAATTTACAAATACGTGTGACTGAGTAGTACACAAGTCTCTGTCACTCAGGAGCTGCGATGTGTCGTGGTCCTGGTTCTGGAGCAAACTCTTCACCTGGCCATTCTCATCTGCCAATTCAATGTCACCTGCAACACACAGAAGTCTAGGTCAGGGTTCAAGGGCAGGAAGCTACTAAGAGCTCTGGCAATGAAACTCAAGACGTGTCTCAGCTATGCAAAGTTGATCCACATCTGAAAAACAGCCCAAAGTCTGGGTGTGTTTTAGCTGAGTACTATGATTCTGGACCAGCTCAGAACAATTATCTGCCTCCCATCCTAGTGGTCAGTCAGCTAAATTACATCGATGCACATGCTTTTTGTCAAGGCTAAAGTTAGGCTGAACAACTCGGTGCAAACCTCTTTGCTGTGGGGTAAACTGGCTCGTAATACGCTGCACTTGTTAGTCTAGGAGCATTCAGTGAGTAGCCAGTAAGGGCAACTTGACAGGCTCAGTTAACAGGACAGCATTCAAGGCCTGGCTGTGAAAACCTGCAAAGAATCCACCAGCACATGTGGGTTGTTAACACATTTCATCGTGCTGACATAGGAACGAAATCCTCATGGGATATTTCCTTCAGATGGACTTTTTCATTAGACATTTTCATTGAGCCTTTTATTCTAACAGCATTTAAAAGCACTCTGTCTAGCTGCGTCCCTATAAGAGATCAACCAGATAACGGGCACAGCCAGGGGTGGCCTCAGCAACTGCAACAAACACATCAGGAACATTATCTGGCTTTGTTAACACACCGGGAGGCTTGACGACAGTTTCCCACCAGAAGAGAGAAGCAGCAGAAACCACCCAGCTCACTTCAGGACTTAAGAGCCACACACAGTCGTAAACCAAAGAGGTTCCTTTCCAGGGAACTCAACTGTACCTTCCTTCTCATGGCCACAGCAGCGTTCCATGCTCTCCAAGAGAAACTGAACTTTACGCTGAATGTTGAAAAGGCCCTTTTCATCTTCTGTTAAAAGAGGCATAAGTCAAAGCAACCAAAGAAAAACCAACAGCCCTCTGACCCTTCTCCAAATTCCAAATTAAGTGACCCTGCACCCAATCACTCTTATCAGCAGTCTCAGGGAAATGGCACCCTTCTGAATGTGAGGGGACTTCACAGCTACTCCAGACAGCGCTGGGCTTCCAGAAGATTCCATAAACCACTAGAAAAACAGTCAATACTTCAGAAGTAGAACAAAAACAATGGTTGCACCACTCCTCTTTTTATTTGTTCTTTCATTTCCAAAAAACTCTTAACAAATCATGAAAAGAAACACCGTGTAAAACTCTGATCTTTTCATTGATAGTTTTGTTTTGTAGGAAAAAAAAAAAAAAAAAAAAAGACCCAAACCATTTTGAAACTCAAAGGTGTTTACTTATAGCTGAAGTGTACTTGTTAAGAAAACCACAGTGGGGAAAAAAAGAAAACTTCCAGCAAAATTCCATAGGCATATCTTTGTTTTGATCCAAACAAAAAAAAAAATGGTTCTCATTGGAAAACTGTTACAATGAAAAATTTGACATATTTTATTTACTGCTGACTTCCACCCTGCCTTTTACAAATATAACCTGGAACCACAAGTCACAGAGATAACTTTATCACCTGCCTGGGTACCACGTTTCCCTGTGGATATCACAAAGGCCGCAATCACTGAAGACGCTTACCTCCACGTAGTAGTTATAAGCATATCTGCTGTTAACCAGAAGAGCAAGCAATGAGGAGAGCAATGACAGTATTTTTTACTACTATATTCTAGAACAGGCAATCGCAGAGAGTGACCTACAGGTGTTTTGTGGTGTTTGCCTGTATTTTCCCGTTTTCTTCAAGTCCCTTCAAAGTGTCAATAAGTACCTAAATTCTGCCAAGGTGAAGCGGCAGAAGAACAAAACCTTTTGGTTTTAGGAGCAAGCTCAGAAAACATGGAACTATTAAAATGAGTAGATGTGGGCAAAAAACCTTGCGGTTCCTCTAGATCCACCAGAGCCACCAGTTAATGGAAGCAAAACTGAGAGCTTCTGCCTTGGCTCCTGGGAGCTGGAGTCTCACTCTCTTAATACCCACTATGGTTATGCAAAGGCAGAAGGAGTAAAAAATGGATTTGTGTCTAGGAACCAGGAAGGAGTGGGTTCACAAACCTCTTCACACATAAGCAATTCAGTAAATATTGCAATGAGAAGAGAATAGGCTTTGCTGTTGGGAACAGTTGGCTGAAGCCTACCTGTGGGGGCTGCCAAGGTACTGTGCTGGCTCACGGTCAAGAAATTTTGTGTTGCTGCACTTGGAGCTGAGGGAATATTGCACAGGAAGAGACGGAGCAGGTGTTCTGATTCCACTCCCATTCCACAGAAGCAAATCTCTCTTCACAGCCAGGCTCTTTTGCCTTCATATAGACAGGCCAAAAGAAGTAGGAAGGATATTTTCAGTTTATAAGTCAGGCTTGCAGGAGCACTGGACACCGGCAGCTACACTGATCCCTGCAGTCACCACTACAGGGAATAGTTTAAACGCACTCTTGCTCAAAAAAAGGGGGAAAAAAAAAAAAATAATCACATTTTCAGAGACCTCCAAGCTCTCTACCAGTAGGTCTTACTGAGATCAACACGAGTACATCTAAAACGTGAACAGGCGACGTAGAGATGCTGGGCAAGGCTTAGAAATACGGCTCTAAACTGTAATTGAAAAACCCTCCCAAATATCCTCTACATTGGAGATCATAGAGGCTATACAGAACGCATTGGTAGCGGGGGCTCTGTCACCACCCATGGCCTCACACGTTTTCTGCTTTACTGACTTAACAATGACACCTATAAAATTAGTAAACAACATCAAGAACCTCAGCTTCCTTCTCAAGCCTACGAATGATGGATATTTCAAGGTGTGAAAGCATTCAACCAGGTTAAGCAAACGTAATACGGATTATTCATTATATATTTGACCAAGTACATCTCTAACTAAATATGTATCTTTCTGATACTTCAGGTACTGCAAGTCTGTCCACAGACACACACACTCTCCCATAGTCCGCCTTCAGTCATGCCAAGGATTAGCTAGGCTCCTCAAGGAAACGAGCTGGTGGCTATTTTACTTCGCAGCAGATGAAATACTTCTGCTTCCATCTCATCAATCCTCCGAGCAATGCAGCCCCTCTTATTTCCAGCAGCAGAACTTCATCCCTCTTTGTGGTCCAAGACTCCAGCAGCTCAGGAGAGGGCAGAGCTCCCCTCGCTTGTTTGATGTTTCCCATCTGTTACGGAAATTCAAAACAAAAGCAGAGTGCCAATTCAGTGGACAGCATCAAGGGACTGCTATGCCAGCACTAAGGCAGCCTAGCCCACTGGGCCAAAAACCAGCACAGGATCTGCTGCCAGCACTGTACACCGAGTGAGTGACTCTCGAGTATGTGGCAAACTGCACAAAGCACACTGATAAAACGCTCAGCCCTTTGCAGAGCTCGCTGCATCTCAATTTCAGACCAATGCGGATGATCCACCCATAACCACACCAAAACCACACCATTAGTAATTCCAAACTCCAAGCATCGTGGTCTAAAAATTCAGCAACAGCTTCAGGAAAACGTTCTGTTCAGGAGACATCCCACTTCTGTGATCTCTTGCTTTTTTCCCTGCTGTAAACCAGCACACATGGAGAGAACCAACCGCCGATTCTCTTCCTGGTGAATTGCTCCCTAGGATCACAGATCGTGGCTGTATTACAGCATTTTTCCCCAGAAAACTTTTGTGATGAACAGAAAAGCTTTAACAAATGAATTAATAAGCAACAAAAATCCTCTGGTTGTGTAAGTGCCTGCTGAGAGAAAGAAGGAAACAAGTTTACAGCTGTGAATTAGTCAAGCACTTTGGTCTGCTTATCAACCTTCTGGTCGCTTCTCTTTAAAGACCTGCTGCTCAGCAGCAGACATCTGTGTGTGCATTTTATTGGGGCACCACGGATGAGAGACAACTTGTCTCCCTCCCATTTTGTAATCTTACTTCTTCTCCATTACAAGGAGCCAGAAACTGCAATACAGCCTCAAGATTTGTTACCTGGATTTACGAGGTCTGAGGGTTGCTGCAGATTCACCAAAGCTTGCTTGATCTCACACAGGGTCTTGGCAAGGGGGGAAGCTGCTATCAGGGCCTCCACCTCCAACTCAGTCAGGTAAGCCAGCTGAAGATCTAAACCTGAAGAAAACAGGGGGGCACTTTTAAGCCTAAAGGAAGAAGAGGTTCTTCATGGCTTGGGTGTCTGCAACTTCCATTCTGCCACAAGGAAATGCTGTACTGAGCAGAGAGAATGTCTGCCCAGAGGCTGTGGGGATCACACAACTGATAATATAGAATTTCCTTGGCCTCGTCTAGATCAGCATTTAATTAGTATAATGACACTCAGTCTCTTCCCTGCAAGTGGTCTTTAATATATAGGTGTAAAGGGTCTATGGGAACGAAAGCTCCGTGACTCCCCTCTTCCAGAGGAGGCAGAAGAGGCTTTCCTGAACTGGAGAAACTTCAGTTGTCCACGTCAGCAAAAAAAACAAACTTACGTGAAATAGCATAAATAGGAAAAAGTAATTACACATTTGCTCTGTTTGCAATCACACATATCCTCTCTCTTCTCTAGACTTCACTGAATCAACCTGCTATGATCTCTGAAAAGTACTCTTGGCACCCACAACTAAGTCACTGCCCTCACCATGTTCTTCATGTCCAGGGAAGCTGAACAACACGTCTTTCCTACTGAAGAGCTCACACTGCTGAGGCAGCTCATGATCCTGAGGGATAAAAAGGGCCCAAGAGTTAAAGAAACAGGCAAGTGGAAAAACTAGCAGAAAGGTGAGAAACGGCCCAACAACAGCTGCAACTCACCCTTCAGGGGAACCGTTTATCTTACCTGCCCTTCCACTACTTGTGATTCACTTTCACTGGCTAAGCTGTCCAGTGAGGGTGCAACTGCCACCACGTCCTGTCCTTGGAGCTTCTGTTCCATCTCTCGTTTCACAGTTACATTCTTGTACCGAGCGTTCCCAAGCAGCATTTCCAGAGCTTTCATTAACTCTCTTGCCTCTTGCCAGGGAGCACCTAATGAACCCGACAAGCAATTTAGATGCACTTCTACAGAACCAAGCAAAGACCTGTAATTATCTTTCTTTGGAAATTCTACAAGACGGCTCCAAGATGCCTCATGCTCTAAGATTTCCAAATAACTCCGTGCTTACATGTTCCTGAGCTGACAGACCTGTCTCCTCACTGAGCTCACGTGAAGACAGGCTGTCAGCTCTTACACCACGGCTGGAAGACACAATCCTGCGGGATCTCTTCTCATGTGTATGAGACATGCCTTTTTTTAACCAGTTCACTGCTGCTACCCTCTTACTCTGTGCTCTGGTTCTCTCACCTGCTTGGAAGTTGTTACTACATTCATCACATTGCTCAACACCTGCTGCTGCCCAGCTGCTATCTCCATGTTTATGCCAACAAATCCTTTGCCTGGAAAAGATTTTCAGGCCTTCAGAGTCCAGCGCTTGCACCGTGTTCTGTTGACAGAAAGCAGCTGTATTATCCTCTGAGAGCCTCACAATCCACCCATTCCACATTCTTCCCCTCACACCAAAGCAGAGATTAGTGTAACTGTTTTATGGCAAAACAAGTACCAAAAGGAGTAAGACCTATCCCTCAGTAAACTGTCACTTCAGGGGAACCATTTATCTTACAAACATCACGGTTCCAAGGCTCCTTTCCCTCAATTGTTTCTTCACACTGACCATGAGACTCTGGATGCACTGGCTGATTCCGTTGTAAAACACCAGCACGTCCGTCCTGTGCTTTGCCAGCTGAGATGCCAGGTGCAAATTCTGATCTTCCAGCTTATCATACAGGGTGCGAACACTGAAATCCTCCAGAACCTTCAGTGCAGGACGCCCTTCTGAAACACAAGGCAAGTCTCACACTTCAGCACCGGCCATAAGTCTATTCTAATTTATTTCTCAGAAGGGGCACTGCCTGTCCGTAGGAGGCGACAGCATTTTGTGCATTGTGAGGAAGGAAAAGGGATGAAACAAGAGATGTAAGAGAAGGCCTCATCCCTCAGTGAGGGGGAGGATGACAGAGCGTTACTACCAGCTCCTAACTTGTCCAGTAAACTGTCAGGGTGCTGCTGCTCCTCTGCAAGCTGATCTCAGCATCACTAGATGGTGCTATCTGCTGGGCTCTGGATTTGCTGAACCCTGTGAACATCCTGAAGTTCCCAAGATGAGGTCATCTCCAGAAGGCAAAGAAGGCCCATGAATTATGTGCCTTCAGAGAATAAAAGAAGCAACAGAAGAACCCAAGGAGATAGTTCAAAAGCTGTTTATTTTCTTCACTAGTCACTTGAACCCGCTGTTGTTTTAAATGACTTTTCAGAGTTGGCCACTTACCCTCTCAACCCCTAAAGAAGAAAACACTAACCCATTCCAACGACAGGAGGTTACACTCCCCACTAAAGAGATCAAATGAACCTAGACTGGAAGTGTGTGTAAATGTGCACAGACATGGGAGTGCATAGCAGCCAAAGTGCCTGTGCGACCTCACGTGCGTGTACAAATTTCTGGGTGAGCAGGTATCAAAATATCGTACTAGAGAGTGAACAGAAGACAACAGAATGGGGACTAAGTGGGAAGAAGCCAAGGGGAGAGCAGCTGGGGTTGGCACAGCACTTCACCTGCATTATGCACAGCTCCTTTCTCTCCCAAGCCAGCATCTTCTCCAGAACCACGAGGGCCAACTGTCTGATAGAACTGCAGGCTAGAGGGAACGACAGAAGAGGGTGAAGAGCATCTCATTCTTCTCAGCAAAAACAGGTAGTGCAGGATCACCTGCCTAGTTCGAGCAGATGGATAGGTTTCTTGGCTAGGTTTTGAAGTCAAAACATGGAGGGGAAGACGAGGCCAGGTAATGCAGGCAATAATACTCTGTGCAGAACATAGAACAGAGCTGTCATACACTACTGGAAGCTGGAACGCCGCTGGGGAACTCCTGGGTAATTCCAAGGAATTCTTTGTGCAGCTAGAAGCTCAGCACACCGTAAAGCTGGCATGACACCCAGCATTGGGGTCGGAGTCAATAGCTGCAGTAGGACATGCTTTTGTCCTATCAAGGTCTGAGCTCCCAGTACCTAGCACACAAAGGCCGTTTACCTGTCTTTAAGGAGGATGCACTCTGGTGGGACATGTGGCTCGCCCAGGCTCCTCCACCTTGGCTTCCAGCTCTCCAGGGGACTAATGATGGGGACAGTAGGCTGGAGCACTATACCCAGAGTTGTCAGCACCACAGTTAGGAAGCCCAGAACAAAGAGGACCACTGGGGAAGCCAAGAGGGGTGCCAAGAAGTGAGAAACACAGTCTCAACAGCACAGTCTCCCTTTTACACTTTACTAAACGTTCTCCCTCCCACACAAACCCAACATTTAGCAACTTTCACGGGCATTACACGGGCTTCTGGTTCTCCCCTTGCTGATCTGGTGCATGCAGACAAGGAGGCAAAATACTGTCAGCTCTGAAAGCTGAAGGTGACAGAGCTGAGGGTCATGCTTGCGAGCCACATTTTCATTTCTATTGCTTTGCTGTCCTCTCACTCATGGACAAGGGACTGGCATGCGCACAGCACCTGCATGGAGGTGGCTTTGAGGAAAGACCTTAACTGCCCTTGTGCTTAGCCTTTAGTGAACTTTTAAACAACGCGTTTAATTTCAGTTTGGTTTATCAAGGAAACGCACCAGCACTTTCTGCTTTCAAGCCAAGGAAAACAAAGCCCTCAATTACTTGAATTCTTCAAGCAGGGTGTGGGGAAAACGTACAACTGCTCCTTGCCTTTCTCCCCTCTTCAGCTCCTACACAGGCAGGTTCTTGGCTAGAGAGCAGTGAAGTTTGGGAAGGAAAGCTTCACGAAAGAAAGGGATTAAAGCTGACAAAGCCAGTGGTTTGATGGTATTTCCAAAAAAAAATGCTTGTTTAAACACACCCAGAGAGGTACAAGAAAGGTCATGGCTAAGCATCAAAGTAGGTATCACGGTGGTTTGGGTGTACCTGTGATAGCAGCCCAGTTAGGAGCCAAGTTCAGATCCTGTTGCTTCAAAACTCCATGTCTGGCCAGCTGGAACAGAGAAGAGGGCTGGAAGGACACATCTCTGGGGTCACAGCCCACATTTGCTTCATTCACCGTCACAATGAGGAAATGTTCCTGAATGGTCCTATCCCTGAAAACATACGTCCCAGACTCCAGGAAAACATGGGCGAACCTAAAAGGGTGAAGGAAAGAAGGCTCTGCTTGATCCAAGCTTCCTTTAGCCTGAAGCCGTGATGATGGTTAAACACATGGACTTGAACACACCAAACTGGCGTTTTGACACACTGCTCACTGCCAAGGACCTACTGACTCCGTGAAAGACTCACTCTCAAGTCCTGCCCGTAACACACGTGCTATTAATCACACCAGATATTACCAGGAGATGTTGAGGTGAGTCTCCTGGATGAGGTGGTCTAGCCTTCGGAAGGCTCCAAAATCCCAGCTTGGGTTGCTGTTATATAGATGCTGCTTCTGATAAACAGGGTAATGGCTGGATGCGCGATCTGGGAACAGTTCAGCACAGTATCAGCAACTCTGACCCACTTCAGACAACTGACTGGCAAAGAACTATGCAACTGCATTTCTTTTATAGGGCCATGCAGCGTTAACTCATTTAAATGAGGTATGCATTATTGCCCGAAGACGCTTTCTAACAAAGGACAAATTTTATCTCCATTCTACAGAAATCCAGCCAAAAAGTAAAAAAAACACCAGGTAACAGAACACCAGACTAAAGTTCTGGAATCCCCTGAAGGCAGGAGAGACAGGGAGGTGGAGGAATGTGCTCATGCATGCAGCGCTACCGAGTGTGGAGTCATTGCTCTAAACAGGCCTGGACACATACATCTGCAGAGAGCACACAGACCCACAACACTCACTGTGGGAATCGACGTGAAGCTGGAAAAGGATCGTGTCTCCTGCTTCCAAACATACTACTGGGTTAGGAACAAGGGGCAAGGCCTGGATACCTTTGGAGGAAGCCCTCTGGACTCGACGACCCTTCTGCAGCAACTGGTCTGACGAAAAATCTCCTGCCACAGGCAACAGAACAAAGCAGGATGAATTCTGCAAAAGGAGCAGCGTGTGAAAATACCTAACCCTTGGCAATGGAGAACTATTTATTCGGTACCTGTGAGCTCACAGGGCCAACTCCTGCTCTCAGTCACACTACCCCAAGTGAGGAGCAACTGGAATCAGGAGAGAGCACACACTTGTCAACAGATTTGCCTCCAAATGAAGTTTCCTTCTAGTTCATGGGAAAGCCCAAATCATCCTGCAGGCTTTGACCCGTTCCCAGGGAGGTAACCATGCAGCCAGTGCAGGTCCACACTGTTTACTCCCAGATAGAACCAGATCTCTCCCTACTCTGTAAATAGTTTGGAGTGTCTGAGAATAAATTCCCTCTGTGCCAACTTGCTGTCCACTTGCTGTGCCAACTTGAAAGAAAATGAATGGCTTAGTCTGGCTGGAACTTCCATTCCCATTCAGGGGCTCTCAAGCCTTACCCGTGAGAAACGCATCCAGAACATCTGTGCTGGAGACAATGAAACCTAGCACTCCGCTGGGACTAAACAGAACCAAACGCACCCGCTGGCTTTTCTGCACGTGTTCATCCGGGCCCAGAACGTTTGGCACTTCCTATTAAAAACAGAGGGGAACACCAATCACGGATATCATCAACGCTGGACTCAGACCCTGGTTTGTGATCAACATTACTTTCAGCTGTACAAGACCATTCTAGTGAGGTTTTTTTTTTCCCCAAAAAACAATTCAGGAACTGCCATTTCTCGTAATGCACCAACCTGCTTGCCTGATCAGTCCTCTGGGTCATGAGACAGACTGAGCCTCTCCTCTCTGCTCACAGAGTCCTACCCTTCTCTAACCTCAGCCCCCAGGAAACTCTTCACATAACTCTAACCTGTAAGGGCTCTCTCCAGACTTGCACGCTGAGGAAGCATTCCCCCGCTCCTTACTCACCCTCACTTCTCCTTCATTCATCCTCAGAAGCAGCTTTCGATTGATGCCAAATCCCAAGGAGATCTGTGGGGCTCTCAGCACACACAGCTGATCACAGAGCTCCTCAGCAGAGACATACTGCTTGCAGTGACATCTATGAGGTGGACAAAAGGCCTCGATCACTTACAATCCCTGAGCAAACAGCTACAACATACTGGCTAGCCCCAGCATCCTACAACCTACACAATGAGTAGGCCTACTCTATGTCCATAGAAAACAGGATGGAGCAAACTCACAGTCCATCTCATCCAGTGCTGTGTCTGCTGTTCAGTGCACGTGAAAAGCCCAAACGTGATACCTCACTCCCTGACAGGCCTCTGCTGGTGTCTAAATAGAGATCAACTTCAGTCCTGTAGCAGAGCATCATGCATCCCTCCCTAAAGTTCTGCTTAAAGAAAAGGGTTGAAAGAAAGCAAGTATAATTTTAACACACTCGGTTTCCATGCAGCCCAAGTCAGGAGGAGATTTTGCAATGAGGATTTTTGGAATGAGGGTTGTCAGTTCTGGTCTAAATCTAGTAAAGCTATCATCTGCTTTAAGGGGGTTCAACCTGAGGTACATCGCAAAGGTCTACCTCAGATAACATCAGCTCTGTCCACCCGCACCTTGTCACTCCGTGTTCATCCTGGTGTCTCACCCAGGCATACAAAATCAATGAAAAATCACTGAAAATACAGGCACACTCTTCAGGTAGAGGAATGAGGCCAGTGAATGTGGACTGAAGGCCACTATCTCCCCAGAAAGGAGCTCCAGCAATGGAAATTTTCACAAAAACCCATCCCACAGCCCTACCCTGCAATGACCTCACGGGATCAGTAACTCAGCCAGTCGGAACTAATTGTGAAGTGCTTCTTAATGAGAGGCTGGGCTCAGACTTACATGCCCAGCTCTGCGTTAATCTCTCCACCTGCAGGCCCACAAGAAGGAGAGCAGTCATATCGGTCAGGAAAAACGCACTGGCGCGTAGATGCCAGACGGACCTCTCCAGGAGCACACTGCTCGTCCACCTGGAAGAACAACACTCATCCAACGTGGGAAACCAGACAAGCTCTACCACTTCAACCGAGATGCAGCACCCCAAAAATTCTCTTCCTCCCTCACCCACATTTCTGACATTCAATGTAAATGTAATCCAACAAGGGATGTTAAAAGATGACTTGGAAAGCATGGAAGAAAGATCACAACAATTTCACTTCCCATCCAAATTTCTCAAGCAGGCCTGATGAAGAACTCCATGATGCAGGCTTAGATGACAGATGTAGGAATTCATCTGAGATACTGCACTGCTCCCCATTGCCCTAGCATGGAAGTATCCTTAGCCTCCACCCCTTATGCATTTAGCCTCAGAAGATTCTGGTAAAGACAAGTGCAGTTATCCTAAAGGAAGGGTCAAGGGTCTCAAACAAAAGGACTTGCTTGCGTCTGCAGCAGCCCAGAGAAGTGAACTTGGAGTGCACGCGTCCACACACCCTGAGACAGGGCCCAAAGCACTGAATTACTCTCCTGCATGTCACACAACTTTGTTACAACTTTGTTTTGAAGCCAAATTTTACCTGAGGTTGGCAGTCCTGATCGCTGTTGCTGTCAGGGTCTTCCCTGCCCCTCTCATCGTAGTAGACGTAACCTGCCTGGCAGATGCAGGAGGCATCTGAGTGCTGGAAAGCCCGGTTCAGCCCGCGGCAGGTACAGCTGGTAGCACCTTAGAGGAGAGGTTGGATTTAGAGAGGTAAGCAGGGTAGGGAACATAGTTTGTAAAAACTGTGCTCATTAAAAAGGAGCAGTTGCTGTGTTGAATACTCTTTGCCCAAATCGCACTGCTCATTTTAGTGACCCTCCTGGAGGCTGTTGCCCCACGAGCACAGCAGAGCTGAGCCAGCAGGAACACCAGCTGGAGCCAGCCTGCCTTTCCCTCCACCAACACAATCATTAGACCGTTTCCTGAAGTGTCCATTTAACAAGAGATGCAGAAAGGCCCAGCTGGTCCTTTGTCACGGCAGCATCTTGACGAGCACTCCGTTAATTTGTACATTAGGCCACGGGATAGGGTAAGGACCCAGACAGACAAGGCTGCCAAGCCCCTCTCTTGTGCCCATTTGATTTGAGATGCTGGTGCACAGTACACCAAGGCAGACATGTACTCTCTTCTCTGCTTAGCCACCTACCTCCCAGTTTTCCAGCCTTTTCCCACTTTATCATGGCCCAATCTGGACATGATCCAGTGCCCCTTTTTGGTTCAAAAGCCCACCTATGCTTAATGCAAGCTCCCCAACTCAAGGCAAAAGTACTCTTGGTGAAACTCAGCTTTCAAAGCAATGATAGAGCAAGAATTAGTAGAGGTGCTCATCTCTTCCTTCCTTTGAAGGAGATGAAATCCCCTCAGCTAACAGGGAGTAAAAGAAAGAAAAGACAGCTTTTAAAATTGAATCCTCCTCCTAGTCGGGACAGAGAAAGAGCAGCCAGGCAGGTAGCACACACAGCACCATGAGGCCCCCAGGGCTTGTGGTCCATCGTGAAACTGTGTGTGGGAAATCACATTTCTAGGCGACTTCTTGTTTAGCCTTTCTTTTTAGAGGTGAAAGTTTCACTTGCACACAGCAACTCACCAGGCTGAGAGGAAGAAGAGCTGCCACAGGGGAAACAGGCAGCCTGAGCAGGAAGGTGACTGAAGGAGCCAGCAGGACAAGCCTGGCAATCCTCGATGCGCTTCGCAAAGCTGCTGCTGCCATGGGTGCCCGGGGGACAGGGCAGGGGGGCAGATGCCAGGGGAGGGCAGTAGTGGCCACTGGGGCAAGGCTTCCCGTGGTAACTCTCGCTGCCTGGAGGAAGCGGTGTGCTCTCAGACACAGACACTGCTCAAGGACCCAAGCAAGTGCTGAGATAGGCAGAGACCACTTACTTATTCCAGTTATACGTGCACACACACCCCTATATATGTGTCCATTCATACAAATCCATATATAGACATGTATGTATATATGAAGTTAATCAACTCAACATTTTTCAATGTAATTTCTATTTAGATATAAATCTTGATTTCTTTGTCCCAGCTATTTCACTGGACAAATGCAGCAGCCAACACATCAGTGAACTTCGCCCAGGATCCCATCCAACAGAGGCTTTCAGATGCTTGTAAAGCTACTCCTCCTGCCTCCTAACCCAGCAGGTGGAAGCAGCAGTGGCTCTCAGCACAGCAAACTGGGAATCCCCAGGTTCACTCTGCTACTTTTGGTAACACATTAACTCCAGACCTCTCAAACTAAGCCCCAAAATCAGAGAAGACAGGGGTCTCAAGGGCCCGAGAGGTCATCCCCTGAGAGACAGGACACCAGTATCCAAACCACTCTTGACCCATTTCTCTAAACTCTCCTAACACCCAACCACAACAAATACTCAAGAAACTAAATGTGACAGCCCCCACCAGGGATTTATAGCTGTAGAGGCTTGAGGGCTTTGCCCACACAGAACTAAAAACTTTCTGGTTACAGTTTAAGCTGCTGTTTCTTGCCCCACTCCTCCGTGGCAGCTCCAGTTACCTTGGGGGCAGATGAAGCCGGCTGGGCAGGGCTGGCAGGGTGATGTGATGAGGGAGTCGCTGCGATAGGTGCCTGCGTCGCAGATTCTGCAGAATTTCTCAAATGAATCCCTTGGACCAGGAGAGCTGAGGGCCATGTACCCTCCTTCACAAGGCAGTGGATGGCCACTGCCTGGGGGACAGTAGTAGGGAAACACACACCTGGAAGCCAAAACAAGGCAGGAAGAGGGAAGAAAGGCTCTGAAAAGGTTTTGATTTCTGGATTCAGTGGCCAGTACAAACGGAGGGCAAAATCAGAAATGGTTCTCATCTAGTTCCAGGCTCAAGCCAACTAGCAGAAATCATAAATCACCCTACTCAGTCTTAGTTGTCACCAAATCCAGGACTGTAATTACAAAGATAACTTTGCTTTTGCACAATGCACAAAGACTGTGGCCGAGGCATTAACTCAGGATTTATCACGGGCACATTTCACAATATTCAGAGTTTTTAGAAACTTAAATGTGGCTGCACCAAACATGCTGGGTACTCACAGCTGCTCAGGGCTATTATATGTCGACGATCCTTCGGGACAGTAATACCCAGCAGGGCACATGGAAGGCACGGCTGTGCGAGCACCACAGTATAATCCAGGCCTGCAAGGCTTCGGATTTACTGAACCTGGTGGAAAAAAAGGGGAAACAGTGATTATGTGACATTCCCAAAACAGAAGAGTATGTGTTAGTGAGACAGTGAGCAAGGGGGCTTTATTAACTGTCACTGTCCATAAACACTGCCCTTTTCCTGTGGCTCGCAAAAGGGCACAGATCTGTCGGGAACTAGTTTGCTATTTAGCATGAAGTACTAACACCTGAATTCCTAGCCCTGGATGATAAAAGGTTTCATATCCTTTTCTAGACCAAGACTTTCTTGGGGAACCTCAGAAAGGGAGGGCTGAGGAACAGGAGATAGGAATTCAAAGGCCAAAATCCAGGAAAAGGCTTCAGGGTAATAAATGTAATTCTAAAACCACTCCATCAGCAACTGTGTCCTAAGAGGGCTGCTGCAAGAATGGGACTAGAGTCACAGCTAAATTCTACAGCTGTGCCTGCTGCACAGTGCTCAGCCATCTAAACTTGGAAATAAAGAAAACAAAGGAGCAGGGTCGTGTCACCTGCTGGGCATTCGTAGCCAGGTTTGCAGGGTACTCCTCGGGTGTTAGGCAGCCCTGTCTGCGCTGGATCCGGGCAATAGTATCCAGGTGAGCAGGGATCACACTCTTCCAATGACTTTGCACCAGGCTGGATCCTGGAAGTACCAGCTGGACACAGGAAAGTGTCCCCTTGACCAGGGCACCAGTAACCAGGGGGGCACGGATAATCCTCAAACCTGGTCAGACCTGTCAGGAAGAGAAAGGAATGAAGAAAGGGAGGCTGAATGGCCAGCAGGGGTTTTAGAGAAGAGCTCTTCGCTCACTGTGAACATGAACTACCTCTCCCTTTCCCTATCTCATCTTAAGGAGTTCTGTTACCAGCTCCAGAGATGGAAAAAGGCTGACTTTCACCTGGCACTTACCTGATAAAGGGCAGTGGTAGCCTGGAGGACATGGCTGGCAATCTGTCAGGCTCTGAGCTCCCGGGTGCTTGCGGTAAGTTTGCGGAGGGCACTTCTGAGGTGCCAGGAGACTGCTATGGTCGCTGCCATTGCTTCCAAAGCAATAGTGTCCTGACGGACATGGGTAGGCCTCTGAATCCCCTAACAAGCAGAAAGCAGAGCTTTAAGGAGTCATCTTTTCATTGTAATTGGAACACCTTTCTTCTGGGTCCTCCCTAAACTACTGCACAGACGTGTACAGTCCAAGCCCCTCTCCTGACAGATGGCACACAGGGATATTTGGAGACTGGTTGTGATCTCAGGTTCTGCTACATTTCCAATGTTTGCTGGAACCGCACATTAAATTAACAGTGTTAAATGTCTCTTTATCTCTGCAGACATTAGAACTCATCGCTAGGGACAGCCCACAAAGCAGCACGTGGTGTCACCAGCCTCAGGGATACACACAACTCTTGAAAAACAACTCCCATTCCCCCTCCTCACTGTTTGCCCCCAAGTTCCAACCTGTTTTGCACCAGTGGCCTGGTGGACAGGGCAGGCAGTCTTCTCTCTTCACAGCGCCTGGAACTGCTCTAATAGTATTGGCAGGACATGCTATAGGTAGCTCAGATCCCTCCAGGCAGTAGAAACCTACAGAAATGGATGGGAAAGAGATGAAAGTAAAATACAAAAGCCTCCAAGGTCAAAAATGACTCAGCAAGAGCCTCCTGTGGTTGTAGAATTAACATCTACACAGCTGTTGAGATGCTCCTGTGCATATAGAGCCAAACCAACGCTCAGCAAACTTTTCTGGACTAGCACTGTAACTTCAAGGTGGCCTTTTTGGTCAGGCACACTTCTTTGTTCAACAGATGTAAAAAGAGAGGTAAATCAATGAAAAAATGACAACTTCAAAAAAAGGGATCACAGTGTATTATGCAGGATAACAGATACTCTCCAGCTGATTAGAAGCAAGTCAATATTCTATACTTTAAATACCACTGGGATTCTCACTCACCTGCAGGACACAGCCCCGCACACACCTGACCCCAGTGGCACCCAGATGGGAAGCGCCAGGAAAAGCCATGGCCCTGGGGGGTGGATTGAGAGCTCCCAGCAAGGCAGAAGTACCCAGCAGCACATTTCCCCTCCAGCCGCCCATGCCTGGAGCAGAGAGGACAATAAGGGTTCACATACGACCTACTGCTAATGATTGGTGCAGAAACAGAGCAAGTGTCGATGCAATGAACTCTGCAAAGTCTGCAACAGAAAATAACTTCTTGCATTGATAAGAGAGAAAATAGACCCTTTTCCACTTATAAAAACATGTAGATGAGTAGAACGAGCCCGGCACTTTTGAGTTCAAATTCCATGAACGTGGGCAAATTGCTTTAGATGAAATTGTGGATGATTTCCCACTGTGCTGACTTTCTGGATTACTTCCATGTTTTCACACATGCTACCTACTATCTCTTTCAGATGCTTCTTTGTAGCATGACAATGACAGACTGCTTTGAGATGCCTCCCAAAATTCACAAATCCAACACGTCTGTACCCAAAAGCTGTGTCTAAGCTTATATTTCTTTTCTTTGAATGAGAGCAATGTGGTAGAGAAGCTGGGAGGAACTTCGCATCAACTTAGCACAAAACAAGAATGCCAAACTGTTTAAAACAAAGTGAAAAAAGGCCAGATTGAAATGAATCATAACCTGCAGTAGTGACCAGGTAAGCATGGCAGGCATTCCTTCTCATTCCAGAGGCCAGTCATGTTTTCAGGAGTGAAAGTGCCTTCAGGACACGTGAGAGGAACCTGTGTGCCTGAAAGGGAGCCCACAAACACAATAAAAAACCCTCGGAAGACTGTTGAGGTCTGACAAGGCCCTAGAACTATATCAGAATGTAACAAATGGCTCCCAGAAAGCAAGGTGGCAACTATGCCACATTTGCTCATTGCCACCCCCTCATCACCTGGCCCACAGGGAAGGGGCACGTTAGGTTTGTACAATTCTGGCGTCACACAAGCCTGAATACTTGGTGTAGCTGGTACGTGAGTTTCAGTGTACCTGTAGGACAGTAGGAGTGTGGTGGGCAGCGCTTGGGGTCTCCTGCAACCAGCTCCTGGCAGTAGAAGCCCCTCTGGCATGGAACACAGGCTGCAGAGCCCCTGGCTGGCTGGTATTCCCCAGCGGGGCACGGCGTGGGGTGGGCTGCCCCTGACGGGCAGAAGTGACCCTGGCAATAACAGAGAAGGAAGAGGATTTCATGGAGATCGTGGCAAACTTAAGGTCTGTGTAAAGCGTGAACCTTTAGGGCAACACCCTGTGTGGACGCATTCAACGTTTCAATCAGGCGTGTGTGACCCTTGGCCACTGTGGAAGGTGAACACCTCCTGCCCAGAGCTGAGACCCACCTCCTTCCCTGCCCAGCTGTCCCTGAGCAGTACCTTAGGGCAGAGGAAAGCCGTGGGGCTGATGGAGCTGAAGTTGGCTGGGCAGTAAAACCCCTCAGTACAAGGTCCTGTCGGAGAACTCAGACCAACGCTAGCACAGAAAGACCCAGGGTAGCAAGGCACACAGCTCTCTGGGGAGGTACCACCTGAAGAGGAAAACAAAAGTCAAGTACAATGAGAGAGGGAGATAAAGTACACCCAGTACAGTCACAGCACTCACGTGAATTGATAACACGTTGCTACCACCAGGCCTGGCTGAGTGTACCAACACCCTTCAGCGACCAAGGGGCACCCCCTCGCCACCCTCCTGTGGGCCAGCGGAGAAACCTGTGGGTGAAGTCACACTCACCTGTGGCATTGTTCAGCGTCCCAACTGGGCAGGCAACTGGGAAATGAGTCCCTTCTGGACAATAGTGCCCCAGTGGGCAGGGCCCATTGAGTGGGAACGCAGGTGTCCCACGTGGAATGGCATCAGTGGCTCCTCCTTCACAGTAGTACCCAGCTGAACACAGACCTGCATGGGAAAACACAGAGAGTTGCAATCACCATCCTCAAACCCTCACAAGTAGGCAGACAACTCAGAGAAGCTGAAGCCCATCCTCGTCCTGTTATATCCCTGCTGACATCCTGGGCCATTCGCCTTTGGTTTGCCTTTCCTCCTTCCCATCAATCCTTGGCCTCTGTCACTTCCTTTCTTGACCTCATCTGGCATTTCCTTACCTTCTCACTTCTCTAACTGGTTCTCTGTATTTTGCTTTCTGTGGAAATGGTTCTGCATGTCTTCTTTTCATGTGTCCAACCTTTGCATTTCAGCCCAGTGACAATTACTCTGTGCTTAAATAGGAGGGGAAGGATTTAGAAGGACAGAAAGAAGAGCAATAAAAGGCTTAAAAGCAAAGTAAGAGAAAGCAGAAAAAAACTAAGGGGGGACAAGGAAAGTAATGCAGTAACATAAAAGTAACATCCAAAACAAATGCTCAGGCAATGAAATGGAGAAATGACTGATAGGCACAGGGTAGAAGGGTGCTCTCCAACAGCCTTTACTACATCACTGAGGTAGTAAATTGTTCACTGAGATTGGGTTTTCTACTTTCCTGCATCCTTCAGCCCTGAATCTCCAACCCCTCTGTTGTGGGTGGTGTGTTATTAATCGAACTCACCGTCAGGTTCCCAGTTGGCATCTCCTCTGCAGTACCTCCCCACTGGGCACAGCTTGCAGGCGCTGGGGGCCAGTGCCCCCTCCAAGGTGTTCAGCGTCCCCTCAGGGCATGGCAGGGGGACAGCGGTCTGAGCTGGACAGTAGTAACCTGCACATTGAGAGCTGAATGAGACACTGCTCAAAAAAGGAAGGAGAAAAAGGTGGGAATGTTGAGCTTGCTCCAGCTACGGGCAAATACCTCGCCCGCTGAGTGAGCCACCACTATGGCTCAGCCTGAGTTGTGCTGGCATCCATCATGCCTCTTCCCCTTCACGTGTTTGGGGTTTTGCTGCACACACGTATCACAGAATGATCTCAGTTGGAAAAGACTTGAAGCTCCACCAGTCCAACCATGAACTTCACCCTGACTGTTCCCAACTCCACCAGATCCCTCAGCACTGGGTCAGCCCGACTCTTCAACCCTCCAGGGATGGGGACTCCCCCCTGCCCTGGGCAGCCCATTCCAACGCCCAACAGCCCCTTCTGCACAGAAATCCTTCCTCAGAGCCAGCCTGACCCTGCCCTGGGCAGCTTGAGGCCATTCCCTCGGGGCCTGGCGCTGGGGCCTTGGCTCCAGAGACTCATCCCCCCTCTCTGCCCCCTCCTGTCAGGGACTTGTAGAGGGTGATGAGGTATTGCTCACCTCTGGGACAGCTGAGGGGCTCCACAGTGGTGGCGTTGCTGCAGGCCATACCGGCCGGGCATGGGAGGCAGGCACTGGCCCCAGGCGCAGGGCTGAAGGTGCCAGGCTCACAGGGCACTTCTAGCCCAGTGCCTGCAGGGCAGTAGAAGCCACTGGGACACCTGTATCCATGAGTCCCATCAGAAGGGCAGGGCACAGAGTTTCCTTCCAGGCAAACATACCTGTAGAGAGAGAATTCGGACCTGAAACAATGAGTTTGCAGCTCTGTTCGGAGGCAATATATGGGGAGGCACTGAGCAAGAACCAAGGGTCAGCACATTAAGAAACAACACTTGAAAATGCAGTTTATTTCCATTTTGCTAATGTGTTCTCTCCCTCATCTGTAATTTAATGCCCACTTGAAAATCCTGGTAAAAGGCTTTTTTGCACTAAGCTGACTGGAAGGAAAAGCCTTTGAAAACTCAAGGATTTTTTACCTGTAAGCACAGGACCCATGTGTTCAGTTCCTGCTGTCTTTGCTTAGCCTCCTTTTATCCCCAGTCTTCTTGTAGGCTTCTGCTTTAATGCCACTTAGTTCTACATTGATTCTTCCTTTTAGCACTTCCCTCCCAACAAGTAAAGATGAATAAATATAAAAACTACTATGGTAAGAGCTAAGCAATAAGGAAATGAGAGGCATGGTCCCATCGCATCGGGTAGACAAGGATTCAAAGGACGTAATTTCTGAAGAAGAAACAATACCAAGTCCTTAAGTGCAGAAGGAACAGCACTGAACAAAAGAACAGCAAAGCTGCACTTTTTTTTGCCTGGAAGCAAGACCTGTCTAGACTGAACAGCAGGCTGTGAGAAGTGATGGGTGCTACATGGTGGAGGTGTTGAGAAGCAGCCTGGGCAAAGCACAAATTGTACCTGTTGGAGAGCAAGAACTTCATACAGCTTTTGGAAGTCAAGGGTCGTTTATAATCATGTGATACTGATTATCACTCAGCCCAGAAAACCCAGAAATACTGTTGCAGAGAGTCTCTAGCATCTTACTAGCTAAAGTTTTGGGGAAGGCTTAACGTTTGACTTAAGATATGGCAAATCCCTCTTATTCCCAGGAAGTCTGTTTCCGTGGCTAATTATTTTCAGCCATTCCAAACACAGCCCTTACTTGTATTTTGAGCTTAGATTCAACTCCTAGCCAAATTTCATTGTGTAATTCTTCACTAGATTCAAGAGCTATCTGCTATCAGAGATCTTTCTCCACAAAATCTCGTTACACTACACTGAAATCACCTCTAAGATTCTCTTTCACAGATCAAATAAACTGAGCTTCTGTAGCCTCTTGCTAGGAGGCATACTCACGAGATGGACAAATATTGCTAACATCACTTTCTGCTTGTGTTATGCCAGCTGGAAATGCTACTTTGTCACTGGTTATTGCACCATCTTGTGGGAGAAGAGATAAAACACAGAAGGAAAAAAGGATGCCCAGGTCAAATTCTCAGCAAGTGTGATTGTGAGGCTAAACAAGGATTTGGAATGCACTAAAGCTATGGTGAAAACTGCGTGTAAGGCTGTGGCAGAATGTCAGGCAAACATAAATGGCTCCGAAACATCTACTGAGATCATCAAGTGGATGCTGTATAGCCCACTCAAAGAGCTAAGAACAAGGTCTGCAGTTTAATTAACCTTGAGCATAAAAATTAGTAACGAGGCATTCGACAAGTGACCTCCAGGCCCGGATTCTTTGAGTTGGGACACGCTACAACCCACAGCAATCCTGCCGGCCGTACTCGGCCGCTAGCAGGCGGCTGTCTCACCGCACCCCGGGTTGCAGAGCGAGGTCTGGGCCAGGCCAGCCAGCCCCGCCGCGCTGCAGTAGCGCCCGGCCGGGCAGGGCCGGCACTGCTCCTCCGCCTCCAGGCCCACGGTGGGAGAGAAGGATCCGGGAGGACAGGGCATGGGGTACCCTGTACCCCGGGGGCAGAAATGCCCCACAGGACAGATGTCGTTACCAGGCAGACCAAGGCTGGAAGATTCCACCTGTATCAGAAAAAGTACAGAGGAGAGAAAAAGGGTTATTGAAGGTTGTCTCTACAGAGACAGGTTCTAGAAAGGGCACACAGGAGCCGAGCCCTACAAGTCTGTTGCTACTGAAGCTAAATGAAGACCATGGCTGGCATTAAAGGGGCAACTGGCTGCCGAGGAGTGGCTGTCCTATCCCAGGAGATGACATCTTCTGGAGGAGATATTAGCACACTCCAGTGCGACCCACGGAAACTGAGATCAGGCCAGAATTTATTAGTAGGCAGCGACATATTCTAGCAGACATTAAGAGCAGCATGTCACTACACTTGAGGAGCTCTCAGGGGCAGCAATAAAAGGCATGAGCAACCTCATACAGAGCAGTAATGCTTGGAAAATGATACACCAGACGCTATGAGATTGTGACAGTGGAGTCCTTGTTCCCAGGTCACCGGGTTCACTGTGCTGCTGCCTGGCACCACTCACCCTGTGTTTGAAGGGGGCTGGGCTGATGGCTCCCTTGGCACAGTGATAACCCGGATAGCAAAATCCAGAAGGCTGGGATAGGCCAGGTGCTGAGCAATACATGCCTAAAATGAAGAGAAAAGCAATCTCAGTGTGAGGGCCTGCACAGGAGATCGGTGGAGGAGTCCTATTTCCCTCAACCTTCCCCTGTCTACCCCCCAAGTGTCATGTGCCAAGTCCCTCCTTACCTGCTGGGCAGGGCTCACAGTCAGCCTGGCTAGTGACACCAGTCCTGGGGCCAAAGGTACCCTTCGGACACGGGTGCTCTGTACTGAAGGTGGTACCGGGCAGACAGAAGTACCCAGCAGGACACACCTCAGGGGTGTGGGCTCCAGAACCTACGATACAAAGAATAGCACCTTGCTCGGGAGCTATTACAAGGGGTGACAGGCAACGTATTTCTCTAGCAGCAGCGTCATCCTTCCTCCCCTATTAGTTCAGCCGGGACATGGGATTCGTTGTGCACACTTCCAATTCAGTTGTTCAGATTCCTGCTGCAGTAATTGGAGAGAAACAGCATTTCCAGAGGAACTGCACTCCAAGTGCAATTCATCTCATCCTAAGGCAGACATCTAAAATGAGAAAGATAAATTGCACCTCAGAAGTGCCTCTTTCTCTTTGTTGACCACAGAGGGAGTGCAGAAAACTACCTCAGATAGTCTATGAAGGAGCTGTTTACAGTTTTATTAATCTCATCCAAGGAGTTCAATCACACCCGTGCAGCCACTTTTTGTTGTTGTTGTTGTTGTTGTTGCACTCATGAGCTGCCACACAGAGATATCTTTGGTACTTGTATTCTCCTGGGTGTGGAGTTTCTTTCCCCAAATAGGAGAAGGATTCGGTTTCGGGCTACTTGTTCACGTACAACCTCATATTCTTTGAAATGTGTTTTCATTTTCATTCTTGGCAGAAACTGATGCACCTGCCTGTCCAGTCCAATCCATGTAATACTGACTTAATAGAACCTTAACAGAAGAAAGGAAGCTACAGCATTCAAAATCCCTTTTTGTTCCACTAGGTCTAACAGGAAGGCTCAGCCCTTAGTGACATGGAATCCCTTTGTGTCACAACACACAGCCCCCTCCAGACTCCTCACTTCCATTAGGCTGTTCACAGAAGAGTCCTGCTGGGAGTCCTTCCTCTCCTGGGACTGATACATCCCATTCACACAGGGCATAGGAAAAGCAGAACCCATGGGGCAGTAAAAGCCTCGTGGACAGGGATAGGGAACGGGAGTCACTGAAGTCTGGCCAGGTGGGCAGTAGTAGCCTGCAGAACATGGTCCTTCAGAAGTGGCTTTGCCCAGGCCTGCAACAGTGAAAATAAAGCCTTTCCTTTCCCTTTGCCAGATCAAAGACAATGGAAAGCCTTATCTCTTGAAATTATGATCTCCATTATATACCTGTAACGTGTGTCAGAAAGTACCTGTTCTCTGAAGCTCAGCCTTAGACAACGAACATCCTACCACACAGGAAAGTTGGTTCTGAATTATATGCCTGGGGGAAACATAGGCTTCCAATTAAAACACTCGACTGTGAGTTGTAGTTCCAGCTCTGCTAGAAACTCATGTTAGCTCAGTCAAGTAATTTCCTCCCTTTTGCTTCAGTCTCACAGTAGGTGATGGGTGAAGCTGTCACTGTCAGTGTGACCGCAAATATTTCAGTGTTGGGGTAGCAAATAAACATCTTATATATACAGATGGTGAGAACCTCCAAGAAGGAGCAGCTGTCTCAGAGCAGAGACCCTGGCTGCTAGCCAGTACCAAATGCCTCTTTGCCAGGATATTTTGTTTTCCCTGAGAGGCCGAAGTCATTTAAGCTTCAAGAAGAGGTGGCCGAGCCAAGGAAGAAAGAAGCAAGAAATGTTATGGGTGACCTGAGACTGGTATTGAGAACCCAAGAGGAGTTTTGGGAAACAAATGATTCAGGGCATTTATACTTAGTGTACATCCTGCAGAAACCATCCATACAAAAAATGATGTGTGGCGCTTAACTGAGTTTGTTCTTCCTGTGTCGGCTAAGGACAAGCTTGTAAGAAATAAAGCTGTAGTGGTTGTCTATCTTGACACAAATCGCATAAACCCCCAGTTCCCAAAGACACCAGCAGACACTCACCACTGCAGAAGTATCCAGCTGGGCAGAGCTGACAGTCTGCTGACTGCCATTGTCCACTCTCAGAGTTGAAGCTTCCAGGACTACACGGGATTGGGGATTCAGAGCCTTCAGGACAGTAGAAACCAGGAGGGCAGCGCTTGTGATCTGGCTGCGTGGATCCAAGCTCACAGAAATACCCAGCGTAACACGTTCCTGCAAGAAGGAAAAGCTTCAGTGTTGGGTTGAAGCAATCAGGAAACATCAAAAAATCCAAAATGGGAGGCCAAAAAAATGTTAGATGCATACAGTACGCACCAGAAACACTGGCTTGGCCTTCTCCTTGGCAGAACTTCCCCCCAGGGCAGGGCAGGCAGGCGTTACGGTGACCCATCCCAGACTGAGGTAAAATCGTGCCAGTGGGACATAGCTCTGGCTTGCTGCTACCTGGTGGGCAGTAATGGCCCGCGGGACAAACACTGCCCGCCTCGTCGTTAACAGGATTGGGTGTACGTGCCTTTGAAGTGCAGTAATACCCAGGCAAACAGGGACCACTAGGGGACGAGAGTCCTAAAGAAAATGAGCGTAAAGGTAAATAATCCAGTGGCATTACATAAATCACAGCTTCCAGACTAAACAAAGCAGACAAGCCGTGTCATCTCAATGATTTCGGTCTACTGGCCAGAGACTAGCTGTTACTTAAAAGCTCTATCTGCAGTCTCCAGTCTCCATACTCACACAACCAGATAACTAAAGGCCTAAACCACCTTCCAGATCACCTTTACAGAGGGGCTGATCAGTACCGGTCTTTCCGCTAAGAGACAACTAAGAATGAATGAGGCCCAGAACCTGAGATGCTTGGCTTTTGGTTTCGTAATCTTTGCTAAAATACCCCCACATGAATCTACCTCTTTAAACTCACAAAAAATAGTTTGTAAAAAATCTTGTAGATTATCACAGAGAATCTCTACTCAAAGGGTCCCAGAAATCACTACAAATGTGCAGAACACCCATTAGTGGGACTTTTTTACTCTCTAGATGAAAAACAGCCCAGGACTTTACTTAATCCACACGTGATTCCTACCTGCACCGGCACAAAACATGCCTCCAGGACAAGGCTTGCATTGCCTGGGATTTCCCAGCCCAGCCTGGTCGCTGTAGGTGCCCTCTGGGCACGGGTACTGATCAGCAGCCTTTGTTCCTGATGGGCAGTAAAATCCCACTGGACATTCTATTGGTTTGACCACACCGTGTGAAAAGTTCTCTTGGAGATCATCTGGGTAGTTTTTTAGAGCACAGAACCTGCAAAAAAAACCCAACAAAAAACCCCAAAAGTCTTGCCTCAGCCCATGCTGTCCCTCTGCTCTGCCAGAGACTAAGAAACTTTCACTCCACAACAGTGACAGCCTAAGACTGCACAATAAAAGAAAGGAAATTACTTGAAAGGAAACAAATGGAGAGCCAAGATACAACCTGTCAGGACCGTTGTGTCCATCCCAGCAGACAGACCTACCGGGACAGATTTTCTACATACATACATAGGTTTTGGTACAGAGAGTGACACAATAAAGGGAAAGAGAATATGAAAACAGAAACAAGGAAACCAGCCTCGTGTATCGGATACTACACACAGAGCAGCATAAGGCAGAGGGAAATACACCCTAATTCCTACGGACAGCATCAAGAGGAACGAATCCGTTTCACTTACATTCCTGCTGGGCATGTTTCACAGTGGCTTTTACCAGCCTGGTCCTGATATTTTCCAGAGGGGCAGGGTATGGGCTCTGGGCTGCCAGTGGGGCAATAGTGACCCACAGGACACAAACAGTCTAGGAGCAAAAAAAAAAAGAAATAACACTTCTAACATCACTGCTCGGCTGATGTCCTGAACAGCTGTACGGTGCCATCAGAGGAAGCATCACCACAAACCTAGAACTGGAAGATTTAATAAGATAAAAGCTTTATCAAGAACAAAAAAAACCCAAACAAACAAACCAAAAAACTGGCTTTGTTAAGAGCATTGCTAAGCACAGATTGGCGCAGCGGAGGCCCGTGCAGAGCACTCTGAACACCGAAGCAGGGTTTTAAGGGAGCAGCCATGCAGATCGCCCTCAAGGGCCTTCAGAAAGCTGACGGGGCTGCAGCCTCTCTGCACTCGCCGTGGGTCCTTTGCACAGGAGCCACCTGCCTGTTTAACACAGCAGGATTTCATTTACACTTACCCCTACAGCCACCTGCGTGTTTCTAAAATGTCAGGATTTCATTTATGCTTATTCCTACATCACCTTTATGAAAGGGAGACCAGACAATTGAGCACTAGCTCTTTCTAACAAAGGTTAAAATATCACAAGGAATAAACTCTTCTTGGGATATTTTACCAGCTTGTTTTTTTTCCTTGGTAAGATCCCTTATTTTTTCTACTATATTTACACACAATTACTCCCTACTTAACCTCTGTTATTTGAATTAATTTCTGAAAAACATTTTTTTAATCTAGCCATTTCTAAACATAACTTGAAACTGTAAGTGAAGTCAGATTTTTAAGATCTTACCACTGCAACTCCTGTAAGTAAAGAATGACCCCAAAGATTTCCTACCTGAATGCTGGCCTGACACAGAGCCCTCTGGACAAAACCATCCTTCTTTACACAAGCCCTCCGAGGACTTCTGACCATGCTGAGAGCAGAACCACCCTGGGATGCAGGACTGGCAATCCTGTGCTGACTGGCCACCACGATGAGCCAAAAAGGAGCCTGATAATAAAAAGCCACCAAAAGCACATTCTGACAGGATCCTAGACTCTGCTGGAAGTGTCTGTGGAGAGAAGCACAACCTGCTCATGCAGTAACTTTCTAGCTACACTAGCCCTGGCTACCTCTTGCAGAAGATGCCAAAAGGATGCTGGTTGGAAGAAATTCAAAGGGAGCACAGCCCCCAGCACTCCCGATGGAGGGTAGGTGACCATCTTCCTGTAAGAGGGGTCTGGGAGAGATGGGTCCTGAGTGCTGGCTGAGGTGAATTCCCAAATTCATTTCTGGTCTGGACTAAGTGGTAAAATCACTTGCTTAATGTAACTCCAGATTTAACCCAGGAAAGAAACAAGTATTCCACAGTTTCTCTCATTCAACTTAATCCTTTGTCTCATTAAGGGTGACGTTAAAGAACAGCCCTGTGCAGGGAGGGTGGCAGAGGCTCCTTGGCTGTGCAACGTCTCCTTCAGGAGGGCTCAGCCAAGAGCATCCCCCCGCAGCTGCACCGCAGCATGCAGGCCACAGGCCGAGGCTCCAGGGGCAGCTTTTCAATTACTGTCTGAATGCACATTTAGAACTGATGTTTCCAATACGACAACACTGGATTAGAGGCTAAGCTTTCGTGCAGACAGCAGCTGTCCTTTGGGGAACATCAAGGCACACTTCAGCACAAAGTGACAAGGGGCTGCGGAACAACGGCACACACTAGAACGAGCTCAGCAGCTCACTGGGAAGAGAAATGACAGCATGCAGCAGCTGCCAAACCTACCTGGGGGACACGGAGATGGAGAAGAACTCCCTGCAGGACAGAAGTGGCCTCGAGGACAAATGTCTCCCACTGCTCCATCCATGGGGTTTGGGAGCGTGGAGCCCCCCGTGCAGTAGAAGCCAGCCTCGCAGGGACCCGACGGGGCTGCCAGCTCTGCAGTTGCACAGTACAAACCTGATGCAGGGGGCAGAGGCAAGGCTGTCATGTAAGAGACACCAGAACCAGCCACAGCACAAGACTGGGATTGCCTACTGATCTTGGCAACAGAGAAAAGAGTACCTGTGTACAAAATCCCCAAACCCAACCCAAAATAACTTGTGCAAGAAGAAAGAGTCTTGTCTTACCTGGAGTGCAGGGAAGAGGAAGAAACGAACCAGCAGGACAAAAGGTTCCTGCCTGGCACAACCCAATGGATCCAGCAGCCGGAGCTGCCATGCCTGCTAACAGAAAAGACACAGACTGAGTTGAAACACACGAACTGCAAGCACTCTATCTTACCTAAAGAACTCATGAAGATCAGACATAGAGCACTGAATTAAAAAAAAAAAAAAAAAAAAAGGAAAAAGGACAAGTAAGCTATCCTGAACCTGTCTGGATCCTTTAGGTGACTCTGTAATACCACCTGCTCAATAATCATCATCACCACGCTTCAGTGTTCCCCTTTGTACCAGAGTAATTTCCAGGAAACACTGGTTTGCTTGACGTGGATCCAGGTGGACAAAACCATCCAGGCGTGCACAGTCCATCTGGTCTTGCTAGGCCTGGCTTGGAACAGACCCTTCCAGGAGGACACAGCTGGCACTTGGAAGCATCCCAGATATTTAAAGCTTCACTGTAGGTTCCAGGGGGACAAGGATACTGCGTGGCAAATTCTGTATTCTGGGGGCAATAATAACCTAGGAAAGAAAAGATAAGTTTCATAGAGTTTAGCACACACTCATAATAGCCTAGGAAGAATCTCCAGCCTGCACACATAGCATTCCCTTCATCTCTTTCTGTGAAGGAGCCCAAGCTATGATGGTGGGCCCATCCTGCTATTTATCACTACTCTGTGACAGCTACGTCACATTTGCTGCATAAAACAAAGCTGGTCAGGGCTGAGGATTAGCAATAGTTTTAACGGCATGTAGTTTTTTTAATGAAAGGGTCTCAAAGCGTGTGATAAAGGTCTGCTGTTGGAACTACTCCCTTTACCATTTTCCACGTTCAGACAGGAACTGAATCCCAAAGAACTGAAGTGCTTTGACCAAGGTCATTGATCTGTCCGGTGGAAGAGATTTGTGCCTCATGCAACCCAGACCAATGACAAATCTACTCCAAATAGCTGTAGGGGCCTCTGCTAATCCCTTAAATAAAATTTCCCAGCATGAGTGGGTAGGTGCAGTCAGACCCACCTGCAGGGCAATCAGTGTAGTTGGAGGAGGTGGAGGTGCAGTAGAAGCCCTCTGGGCACGACAAGCACTGCCTCATCCTCCAGGATGGGCTGTAACTCCCTGCAGGGCACGGCTGGGCGCTGCTGCTCCCCACCACACAGTAATGTCCAGGTGGACATGGCCCTCCACTGACGGTTGTCTGAAGAAAAACATCATAGTTATAGATTCTACAAACTCAAAGGGTGGCCTTGCAAAAAGATCTACGTCAGAGTCTAGCGGTGAAGAGAATTAGCATGTAGTATGAAATGCTGTGCTCACGCCTCAGTCTTTAAGGCTGCACACTGACCCTTTTCCAAAATAAGGGATCAGAAATCTGCCCATAACAAATCCCACTGGAAGATGGCACCACCCTTTCTTCATTCGTAGTCCGTAGAGAGCCGTGGCATAAAACCAGTGTCTTACCACCTTTAGAAATTCTTACTCTGTTTTGCCTAGGAGGAGGGCTGACAGAGGCAGCATTCTAATCAAACTCATGCATTCCTAAACTCTAATTTTAATCTGATGTGGCATCCCACTCTGCTCTGCACATCAATATACAAAGACAGAACTACTTTTGGTCAGATTTTATATGTAAAAGGCAAAAGAAGGCCAGGTGTATTTTGCTATCTCTTGCCCCTTTCACTATCAATAAACCAGATGTATCTAATACAGGTGATAATGTAGCAAGGGAGAGTTTAACCTGGAGCAAAAGAACTAAGGTGACCTTACGTCAGATATGACATTTTACACTATTTACACCACAAGCACGACTTACCCTGGGAGGTTTAGGGGAAATGGCTCCTCCACTACAGTAGAATCCAGCCTCACATAATCCAGTCGGAGACAAAAGTCCAGCCCCATTGCAGAAATATCCTGGAATTAAGAGGGACCACAAAAAGACCATAATGATATTGATTGTTATTGGTCACAAGGCAGACAACAGCTAATACGTAATGAGGAAATAATGACCGAAGCATCATGTTTGATGTCACCCACATCTATTCTCCTGGAGATGCTTTCACTAGGAATAGCTGCAAGCAGAGAGCTTACGTGCCTGAAGAGACAGCACTCCTCATACCATCTCTAAGTATGAAAGCACCTAGAGAAAAGATGGGAAGGGCAGCTCACAGCTCTGAAGTTCACACCTCACTGAGTATCCTCTTATGTGGAAAAGGGGCAGATTTAGTCTCTCTATGCACTGCTTAACATCTGTCTCCAGGAAAGCAGTTGTTCGTGACTGCCTACTCTAGAACCAGAGAGTTTCTCAGGAGCTCTAGAAATGCTGATGTCTGGCTAGAATCTCATGAATCCTTTCTTTCAGTGCTGTACCTGCATCACACAGGAGACAGTCCTCAACCCCAGTATTCCCAGTTGAGTTGCTGTAATGACCAGGAGGACACGGTTGTGGAAAGGCAGAGCCGGTAGAACAGTAAGTTCCCTTTGGGCATGTGCTTCCCAGAAGACCATCTGTAGGTGTTGGAGTAGAAACACCCCCCCTGCAGTAGAACCCAGCCAAGCAGGGTCCTGTGACACGTGACTGCCCTGCAAGTGCACAGTAGTGCCCTGAGAAAGCAACACAATGCCATTAGTACTGGGAGAAAAAAAAAAAAAAAAGCAGGAAGCTACTTCAGAGAACAAGCCACATACTTACACAATTCATCCACTCAACCACAGAAGCTCAAGACCATTCAACACACATTTTCATACACTCTCTCCTGTCACCATGCCGAGATACACTTATTTGGTCTTTACCTGGGTCACAGGGGGTGCAGTGAGACACCAGGCTGCTTCCAGTCCGTGGGTTGTAAGTCCCCTTTGGACATGGGAACTGAGTTGCAGAAGCAGTACTAGTAGGGCAGTAGTGGCCAGCTGAACATTCATTCTCCAAAAAGGAAGAGGAATTTTTGGGGCAGAAGAACCTGGTTCAAAGAAAGATTTAAAAAAAAAAAGGAACAAGAAAAATGAAAGAAAATTTCTAGCAATATTCTATCCACTTAATGACGGGACTAGCCAATGTAACGTGGCTGCTGCACTGTGCTGTACTGACCACAAAAGAGACCTGCTTATGCATATTACTACATTTTAGTTGTTTCCTCATATGCCAAATTGATAGCATAATTGCAAAAGCCACAGAGACATAATTTTCTTATCTTGAGTCATAACACATCCAGGCTGTGATTCATCAACTTGTAAAAGTTAATCAAGGTCAAATCCAGTCAGTAATTGGAGTTGAATCCCCCAAGGAAAAGCCAGACTCAGCATCAGGTGAATACACAAAAACTCCTTCCCCTTCAACAGGCCTCTGCCAGCCTGTTACCAAAGGAACCGGCTATTACTTCAAACATGAAAAAAGTTTACAGTGTCAGTGGTTTCCTTGCTCAGAATAGTCTTCTGATCTAAATTCCCTTCCCGTGTAGTTGTATCTGGGTTTTAGACTATGTCTGGTCCCATAAATCAACTACAGTGTTCCTAAACGAATCTCAGTAGTTGCTCTGTCAAAGTGCTTTTCAGTGGTAAAATAAGTAAACTTCCCTCCGCGTGCTGCTCCATGATGACTGGATAACCAATTATTTCCAGTAGTCCCTCACTGATACCTACAAAGCTGAGCTCACTGTCTCGCTCTTACCCTTCGGGACAGGGCAGGCAGCTGGCTTGCCTTTGCGAAGGGTTGTAGGACCCTGCCGGACAAGCAGTTGGAAGAGCTGTGCCCTTGGGACAGAAATACCCTGGAAAAGAGAAAACAGATCAGAATCGGCAGTTTTTGAAAAATGAAAAGCAAACCCGGCACTGAAATGTGACCCTAACTCACCCGGGGGACAGGGTTGTGGCTTCTCGCCAGGGACACAGTAGTCGCCCTCTGGGCAAGCATGGCACTTCTCTCCACGGATGTGTGGTGAGTAGGAGCCGGGGGGGCACGGTGCTGGACTCCTGGATCCAAGAGGACAAAAGTGACCGACTGGACACGGAGCTCCTGACAGGCCATCGGTGGGCGTCGGGGTCTGGGCCCTAGTGACACAGTAGTACCTGCAGCCGAGAATACAGGAACATCCTCTCTTTATTTCAAGAGGGTGAAGAAGACCCCTTGTAGAGCACCTCTCCTTACACAGAGCACATAAATGCATTTGCTCTTCTACTTACCCTGCGCTGCAGTGCCCGGAGGGGGCGCTCTGGCCAGAGCTATTGCAATAATATCCCCCAGGGCAAGGCTGGCATTCCTGCAAACTCCCACTGCCTTCGCTGCCAGACCATGTGCCAGGAGGGCACTGCAATGGAAGCGGGGCACCTGGCAAAATCAATTGCACCAGCGTGAGGAAATGCCACCTCTATGAATTAAGAAAAATTATGCAAAGCACCCTACCTTCAGGACAGTAATGACCAGGAGGACAAGGAAGTCCTGATTCTCCATCTTGGGGGTTTCTTACTCGGGCACCACTTTTGCACCAAAATCCCTCAGCACAGTCTCCTAGAAAACAGAGTATCGCATACAAAATACATAAATGTATTAAAATAATATGCACATAAATGCAAATTTCAGAGCACAGACTGGAATACAGTCATTTGCCATGCCATCATGCAGAGCCACTGCCAGTCTACAAATTAGTGATCATCAAGCAGAGGAGCTGCTTGTAACTAAGGAGGGCAGAACTGGTAGCAGCTGCCAGACTGACAGTTCCTAGATAAGGAAGCACTTTACTTAGCTCAGACTAAGCCCTGCCTGCATATTTCACCAAGTACTTCAGCATTTCTCTTTAGGTACATACTCAACACATCCTTAAGCAAAGCTTGAAGCATTAAGGATTTTAATCAAGTGCTTTGCTGAATTAGGGCCTTTATGTATACAGGACAAGGAGCAATGCAAAAATCATCAGTGCTGCTGCGAAAAAACCACCGTGGAAAAAAAAAAATACAAAAAACGTGGAGAGATGCCATTGCTGGGTATTTTGCCCTCTTTCTCTGCTAAGCTGAATCACATGTGCATCAATTACGTCAAAGGATTAGTTCCTCGGGAACTAAGCTGAAAAAACCAAACTAATTCTCAAAAGGATGCCAGACAGGTTTAACGCTGGAAAACTCCCCAATGGATTTTTTTTTATGAGATATCATACATAGAATTCTAGTTTCTGCAGCCCTCCTCTCCCTTCTCGCTTAGAAAAAAAAAATAATCTTTTTCTTTCTCAGAAAGTTCTTGACAAGTAAAATGGTACAGGTTCGCCTTAGCTGAGATCAGAACCCGAGAGTCCTGACTCCAGTTCCTGGCACTAACCATCAGTCACTGACAAGACTCTCCAGCAGTCCCGAATATGCTCAGAATAATAGAACATACCTGTTGGGGCAGCAAGTCCAGAGAATTCACAGTATTTTCCTGGTGGGCATCTTTGACATTCCTTAATAGTTTTCAGTTTTTGCCTTGGTCCAAAGGTTCCCGCAGGGCAGCTGTACTGAGTGCTCCTGTTCGTCCCTGGTGGGCAGTAAAAACCTTGTGGGCACGGGTAAAGGGTAAAATCAATCACTGGCCCTTGTTGGCTGTCACAGTAATAGCCTGCAGTGAAAACAGAGGAAAGCAAGCTGAATTAGTCACCGAGAGATACCAGCTAGTGAGGGGCTGCTCATTAGAAAAAAAACAGGTTCTCCAAAGCACCTCACTGGCCACTGGAAAAATAGACTGACTTTAAATTCCTTACGCTGCTGACCTTAAATTACGATTGATCTGAATCACACTGCTGCTGGGATGAAGGCACACCAAGGCTTTCCGTGTGCTGCAACTATTTTGAAGCAAATTTACCACCCAGAACACAGGGCAAAACTTACAGGTGGCAGAGAAAAACAGGGACAAGGCACTGATCTCCAGTTACTGAAACCCTTCACGCATCGTTTTCCCACTGAACGCAGAGCTGTCCCTTGCCAATATTTTAACTGTTCAGAATACACAAACATTATCAGTTCTGCTTTCACATGAGCATCACTTTAACCTCTAAATGGCCTTTTCACACAGAAATAGAAATTGCTCTTTTCCAGGATAAGGAAAAGAAACCACTAAGGTAGGCAGCAAGTCTATAAATTTTCAACCACAGGAAGGCTCAAGAGTCATAAGAGGGGCAGGCATTTCTTGGTGAGGCATGCACTGAATAACATTTGGATACTGTGACCATCACTCCTATTTTCTGGATGCCTGTCCAGTCTACAGCACCTCTGGTTCCTGTCAGATCTCCCAGCAGGGGAATGGTTTTTCCACCTTTGGCTTTTCTACTCTAAACCAGTGACCTTCAGAAAGACATTTATTTTGAACTTGTCCAATACACACACACAGAGTCCTTTGAGCATATCCCCAGAGACATTTTGCAGCATGATTTATTCTCAATTTACCTTCCCAGCACTCTCCAGTTGGGGCACTGAGGCCAGGTACCTCGCAATAGAAGCCAGAGGGGCAAGGCTGGCACTCAGAGAGCGTTCTCCTCCCTAGGAGGCTGGAAAAGGTGCCAGCTGGGCAGAGCGTGGGTACTGCTGATGCTGCAGCTGGGAGGACATGAAGCAAGACAGAGAAAAATGAACAATGGAAGAGTAAATGAGCATTCAGGGGTTGGATGAGCACACGGCAGCATGGAAACAGTTATCAGCAGTCTTACTTTTCGCTCATAGATCAAACAGTGCTGCAAGGAAGAGGACAGACATTATTAGGTTCATTTTATTGAAGGGAACAGAGGTGAAGCTAATTACGTTCTAAAAACAGACAAGCTTAGGAATTGAGACAAATATGTCACTGCTTTCAAAGAACAGGCCAGGAGAAGAACTTGGGCGAAAATCTGGGAGTTCGGGCACTCTGATGAGGCCCTAGCTAGCTGGCCACCACCATGCTCTCAAAATCACCCATCAGTGTTTCAGATACTAACATAACATGAGATTTTCATTATTTCAGATATTATGAGACATGAAATTTTTAGTCTGGACTGATGCTGGATACTTACTGCAGTAAGTCCCCATGGGGCAGATATTCCCAGTCACATTATCTGTTGGTTTAGGGAGAGCTGCTCCCCCTGTACAGTAAAACCCAGCAGTACACTCCCCACTGGGGACAGACAGACCTGGAAGACATTGAGCATAATGGCACTCAGAGCTCTTAGACAAAGGGAGAAAAGCGGCAAAAACAACCACTCCTTCTGGGCAAACACTGCAAAGTAATAACCTGAGCCCAGTTCTATGCTGGTCTAGGGACGCACCAAAGGCATCTTGCAAGCAGTTACAGCTCTACCGAAGTATCATGATAAAAGCAGCTCCAGTTTAACACACTGCAAGAATACTGAAAGGACAGAAAAAGAGCGGGAGAAAATGAAGCAGCAGTTAGCATCCCAGCATGCGGATGAAGAGAATACAGGGGAGTCTGACAAGAGCCCCTGATCCTCTGTGCCTATGAACACGTGTTCACACTGGTCCTCTGAAGATGGGAACATGGCCACAGAGGCAAAGTGACTTTGCTCGAGGTCACACAGCAAATCCTGGACAAAGTCAGGTTCATCACTCAGAAGCAGAACTTAGCTTTAGAGTTCTCTAACAAGTTCTTGAATAGCAAACTTTTCTTTGCCCACATAGTGCCTTTATTTTAACTCTCCTCAAAACAGGTCACTCCTGTTCTCCAAAGACACTAACCTGAGGCATTGCAGTAAAACCCCGGAGGGCAAGGAAGAGGCTCAGGGCTTCCTTTGGGGCAATAGAAACCCGCTATGCACTTCCCTCCAGTGGCAGTGGCTGGACAGAGGCAGTTGGCATTGGTGTAATTATCCAGATCAAAAGGCCGTGAGGTCCAAGCAGCTGAGATGCAAAACCAGCCTGAGAACAGAAAACATGACTGAGAAGCTCTAGCATGAATAAACAAGGTGGGATGGCTTTGCACATACATGCATGGCCCAACCATAAGCTCACAGAATAGTGAACAGACTAATACCACCAAAGTTTAACACCACCGTGGCATAATTTTCCATGCAATAGTACATGGAATGAGGCTTCTATATAATACCACGTCCGCAAAGATGATAAGAGATCCTGCAACCTTAAGTTCAGTAATTTCACTTTATGGTGACAGGGCTCGATTCGGCTGCCTGAGCAGGTTCAGAGTGGCAGATGCAGAGACAACCACTTGTGGCTCCCAGGTACATCCCACATAAAGCCTGAGTCCATCTGAACCAGCAGATGGAAGTCAGGTGGATGCCCAGGGTGTCTTCAGCCGTACTATACGCCTACAGTTTGGCAAGTGAATCAAGCAAACGGACTGGAAACCAGACTCACCGGCATCACACTTGCCCGAGGCAGCAGTCAAGTTCTCCTTCCCACAGTAGTGCCCAGGCGGACAGGGCAAGCAGCTATCCAAGCTCTGGGTCATGGGCTCAGGGTTATAGTAGCCCCGGGGACAGGGAAACTCAGTGGCAAACCTGGTTCCTTTGGAATGAAGAGAGCGAGAATTTATCATGGACTGTAAGTACTATCTTGGCGAGTAACCCTGCTGTCTTACTTCATGTCATCTTTGCCCGTGTCTCTCATTGCTGGTCACGGAGCACAGCTTGGCCTTCATGGCCAGGACAGTCTCTGGGCATCGCTTAGCTTGCCTGTGAGGGGGTTAGGCAACAGCCATATCTATGGTTTAAAAGCCTGTGTTTTGTGGGGTTTTTTTTTGTTTGTTTGTGTTTTTTTTCTGTAAAGAACCAGACTGACACTTAGATACAGAGATCATTTCTTGCCTTTAAGGAGGATGTTTCAGCCTGGCCACTGTCCCCTGGGCCCGTCTCACCTTTGGGGCAGTAAAAGCCAGCTGGGCAAGGATTCATACTGTAGCTGGTGGTATTTTCTGGGCAGTAGTAGCCAGCAGCACAAGGGAAGCACGCAGCTTGTCTGGTGAGGTTGTTGTAAGTCCCTGCAAGGCAGGGTAAGGGAAAGTTGCTTCCTTCTGGGCAGAAGTGGCTCACAGGACAAGGGCCTCCTTTCTCCCACATTCCTAGAACACAGAAAGTAGAAGAGATATGGCCAATAAAGGGAGCTGCTGAGGGCAGGACAATGCCAACATAAGGAGCTCACACACACACACCCCCCCCGATGAAGATCTTGGTCCTCTCTGGGATGTCAGAAGACAAATCAAGAGGATGCACAACACAGTAACGGTATAACAACCGTATCCCAGCTTTGGAATTATTCAGTGCTGTGTCACCATATTGCTTCCCTCCTTGCTTCACAGGCAAAGCCAGAATAAACCATATTTAACAGGTCAGCTTTCTAAACACTCCACATATACCAGTAACTCTAGAGAATAAGGAACTGATCAACTGGGGACTTGGAACGCTTCCCTAGCAATTATTATTTCAGAGATACAGTAAGATGAGAAGGGGGAATCAGGCAGGCACCCATAACTTCCCCAGCGTTCAATGCAAGTATCTCATTCGATAACACAGATTGGCAGACTAACTGCTTCTTCACCCTTGGCATGTATGCGTTGGGTTACCTCAAACAGAATTAATACAGGGGCCTGGATGACTGAGAGAAGGCAGGGACAGGAATACTGGGGGGAAAGGTGGCTTTTTTTAAAGCTATGTGTTGCCAAACCCCCTAATCATTGGACACAGGCAGATGAAGACCCTGATGTTCTCCCAGTGCAGCTCACCGGCTGGCGATGGTGAGGAGGCTCCAGGCAGGCAGTAGTGTCCCGCTGAGCAGGGTCCCGAGGGTGCCGTGAGGCCAGCAGAGCTGCAGTAGTGGCCAGCTGGACACACTGTGCAGCTGGAGTCCTGCCAGCTGGAGAGCCTGGTGAGGGACACAAGCAGGCGTTCTGTTGGCAAGTGTGCAAGCCCAGCAGGTTGATGCCTACACCTCTGGCCAAGCGAAAACAACCACGAAGCTTTTATGGTCGATGCAAAGATGGGTCTAATGAGCCTTACTGAGCTGCACTTTGCTGCATGAAGGACTAAGGGAGAAGCCAAAACCAAAAGGAAGGTAAAAGTTAGCATCAGCAGAACCAAGAAGCTTACCCGTCCGAGTAAGTGCCCACGGGGCATTGCTGTGGGATACTTGTGCCGGCTGGGCAGAAGTGTCCAGGTGGGCACGGGCCACTAGTGCTCGTGTTTGTGGCTCCATGGGGGTTTGGGACACTTGCTCCTACATGAGGAAGACAGACCGAAGGGATCCTGAATGACATGGGTTGCTATTCATAGGCATCTCTGTCCCCCCTTAAAGAAACATTTCCAAAGCTGAAAGAAGAGAACAGCTGACTTGCTTATGACAACAAAGCAAAAAATCGACAGTGGAATGGAATAAACAGCAAGTACCATCAAGGAGATGCAGTTACCTCTAAGCCACTACAGGAACGTGAGCTTTAACTATAGCTCACAAAATCCTTCTGTGCCATGTACCATCAATCTCTACTCTATGGCCAGGAGAGCTGATACCCAGAAGAGAACAGCTCACACGAGTTCCCGCTGCTGCAACCAGGATGTCTTGGTTTAACCCCAGCCAGCAACCAAGCACCACGCAGCTGCTTGCTGGCTCCTCCCTGCTCCCGGAGGGATGGGGAGGAGAAATCAAAAAAGTGAAACTTGAGATAAGAACAGTTTAATAACTAAAATAACAATAATAATAATAATAAATGTAATGAAAAGAAATATAACAACAAGAGAAATAACACCCAAGAACAGACAAGTGATGCTCAATGCAATTGCTCACCACCTGCTGACCGACGCCAAGCAGCCATCGGCCCCTCCTGGCCAACTCCCCCCAGTTTATAGACTGGGCAATGACATTCTGTGGTGCGGAATAGCCCTCTGGCTAGTTGGGGTGAGCTCTCCTGGCCATGATCCCTCCCAGCTTCTCGTGCACCTGCTCACTGGCAGAGCGTGGGAAACTGAAAAATTCTTCACTTAAGTGCTGCGTAGCAACAACTAAACCATCAGTGTGTTATCAACGTTATTCTCACACTGAATCTGAAACACAGCACCGTACCAGCTACTAGGAAGAAAATTAACCCTGTCCCAGCTGAAGCCAGGACACGTGACAAAGAGTTAGTGTTCCCAAATGCCCATCTCCCATGCTCAACCTCAAATTGCCTGTTTGCTGAAGGGGCCACTATGTACAGAAGCTATTTTATTTACATGACAATATCAGGAGCATCTATGAAGTTCAAAGGCCTGTCATCCACATCGGGAAGCATGGATCTGGATGTTGATCACAGCAGAGCTGACTGCTGTTTCTGAGCAGCCCCTCAGCTTACTTTTTCACTTCTCTTTGTGCCCTGTAAATTCAATACCTGCTGTACAGAAGAATCCTGGCCAGCAGGGACCACTTGGAGAGGATAATCCCCATTCTCCACAGAACATTCCTGGAAGGCCACAGAGGGAAAAAGAGCATCAGTAAATTGGGAGAAATAACAGGAGAGCTGCTGTGCTGCATGCACTGATTGGAAGGCAAAGGGGAAAACTTTGAGAGAGCCAGTCCCTCAGCATCAGCACAACTGGGACAAAACCACATTCCAACTCAGACCACACTCATCTGGGAAAGCCTGAGTATAAACTAAACTTCCGCAGAGCCTCAAAAACCCCTGTGGCTCCTTTGGGGACTTTACCAGTGGGATGAAGCACCTCCTTTGTGTATTTTTATGTTTTCATTCCCTAGAGGCGCAACACACATCAGCAGATAAGGAAGAGAGATGTATGGAGAGATGACCCTCTTGGACACTTGCCTAACACGGACAATCAGCTCAGACATTTCCTCACCTGCAGGGCACTGCAGACACCTCTCAGCCTGGCTGACTCCATAGGAGGGGTTGTAAGTCCCTGGGGGACAAGGAGTAAAAATTCTTCCAGTTTTCTGAGAGCAATAGAAGCCAGGAGGACAGCGACGTCTTTGTCCTTTTGAACAGTGAAACCCAGCAGGACAAGGAAAACATTTGTCTTGACCTGTGAATGAAATGCAGGAAGTAAAAGGAATCGAGTAATAAAGTTGAAAAAAAAACCCAACAAACCACGTGCATAACTTCCCTCTGCCAGGTCGCACGCTTGAAGGAGCAGAAATCTCTAAAATAAAGTTATTCTGTAAGCCCTCCTGCAGTAACTGGCCTTCAGACACGTACCCTCCTCTCCCAGGAGCGTTTCATTTTCAGGAGGCTTCTCAACCTCACCGACCCCAGAGTGCCAGCATCCTCCACAGCTCACCATTAGGTTGCAGGCAGAACAGTGAGGAAATCTGGTTAACTGCTCGCTAGCTCTCTGTGCACTTCAGTGCTACAACCCTAATGCAGGAGCTGCTGTGGGGGCGAAATATATTCCCCATGTGACACCAGGAAAAAAACCCAACCAAAACCAATACTAAAAACACCACAAAAAAACAAGCCAAAACAACAACCAAAGCTCCCAATCACCACAATAAAAATTGCCACCTTCTCTACTCGATCCTCCCAATACCAAATGCTCGTAACACCCCGAAGCTATCAAGGTATTTTTAGATACAGACACACACACATAAAAAAAACCTCAGGGTTCCTATCTCCCTCCAATCCACACTGAAGTCACAAAGATCCAGTTCCTGACCTGTTGCATTATTGTACTCTCCACTGGGGCAGGGAGAAGGTGCTGCTGAGCCTGCAGGGCAGAAATGGCCCCGAGGACAGACATCTCCAGTGGTACCATCCTCTGGCTTTGCAGTCTTTGTCCCTCCTGTGCAGTAATAGCCTTAAAACAGAAAGCATTTGAGTCCTGTTTCCCATTCAAAACCAACGGAATTTCTAAGTAGCTAAAGAAGTTCTGGGCTTTGTCTCACCCTGTGCACAAAGTCCTACAGGAGCATCTTGGCCAGACATACTGCAGAAAAACCCAGGGGCACAAGGCAGGCACCAAGTGGCATCCTGGGCTCCTCTCTGCCCGTTCCAGGTGCCAGCAGGGCACGGCATCTCTTTTGGGCGTGTTGTGCCGGCAGGGCAATAATGTCCTTGTGGGCAAAGATCTCCAAATGGAAGCCCCATCTGAAGCGAGGAAAAGAAAACAAATATGGAGTATGAGAGCTTTGAAGGGCCAAAAGGTCTGAAGGAATGCAAGATAGTCAGTACTCACAGGCGAGGAGGTGCTGGAACCTCGAAGGCAGTAATATCCTGGCTGGCAATGCCCTTCTGGCTCCGTCAGACCAGCCATGCTGCAGAACATACCTGCTGGGCAGGGCTTGCACGAACCTGCCCTGACTACATCTGTGTAACTTCCCTGCACAAAGGGAGAGAACCAGCGAATGCTCCTTGCCAAGGGACTGGAAGTCTGCTGAAAATTACTACTTGAAAAACGAGTCCATATTTGATTCTTACCACTGGACACGGGAGAGGCAAAGAACTCCCAGGCAAGCAAAAATGTCCTTTGGGACAATCCCGGGGCGCAGCCAGGGCTGTCTCATTACAGAACGTACCCTCCGGACAGCCCCTGCAAAGAGACTGACCACGGCTCTAAAGGGGGAACACAGGAAGAACTTGGCAGATGTGGGGTATCACTGCTTACCATGTGAATAAACAAACTTTCCACCTTCTACCATGTCCCAGACTCTCTACTACAAACAAACACCCTGAAGCACATGAACTGCAGCCCAAATGCAACAGATCCGTGGTGTCGGAGTAGCACATTGCACCACTAAAGCAGCGGCAGGCGCAGCCTTGATCTAACAGAGCGGTGAGGCACATGTTAATTCATCTGTACTAGGCTAAAGCCTTCTCAGCCCACTTCTAAGTTTATACTCTGCGTTAAAACTTAAGAAAAACTGCCTGATGAGTTATGGACAACAGTGCTGGACTGATGGATCTGATGTCCTGACCCAAATCTTTTTTAGTTCTGCACAGAGTTCTTCTGTTGCAGTGCAAAAGCAAAGGAGAGGGTGATTACCTAAATTAGGAGAAAACCCATGTGCCCCTTTTTTTTTTAAGCTGACCACTTACAAACACCTGATGAATTTCTATTCACACAGTTTACAGTTTCCAAGGGCTCTAATGACCCCAACAAGTACATTAGTGTATACTAACACACTTACAGGCTGGAAGCTGCCAAGAGGACACGGTTCTGGCTTGAAAGCTCCTGCTAAGGAATAATGCCCCTCCATCACCACTTGCTGAAGAGCGCTTTTGGCACCTCCTGTACAGAAGTAGCCAGGTTCACACGGTCCTGAAGGAGCTTGGTTATTTGTCCCATCACAATACAGGCTATGTGGGGAAAATCAAAAACCTTGGCTAGCAATAATGCCTTTTGTCACTGGATAGCACCAATAGTGCCTTTTGTCACTGGATAGCACAGTTCCAGTACAGAAAAAAAAAAAAAAAAAAAAAAAAAAAAACCCGGCAGTCTACCTGAAAACTTAGAAACCTGGTTCCTGGTTGCTTACAGGCCTTGAAAGGGAGTTGCAGAGGATATGTATCGTTTCCAACACATGCTTTTTTAAGACCATAACCTGTCAGATTCGGTAGCTTTATCCTGGGGAGAATTCTCCCCTCTACAACTAGGGAGTGGCATCTGCATATACTTCTGAATAAAAAAATCACACAAACATCTAAATGTTGGTTTTCTTCAAACCTTCTCTTCAGGTCTGGGCTAACAATATATATAGAGAAAGGGACTTTGATGGCATTCCCTCCAGCTTCTGGGCAGAATATGAATTCCAGGGCAGTCTCTTGCTCTGTTTTCCTGCCTACCTCTCCTAGGTAAACAGAAAGTGAAGAACAAGTAAAAAGGGAGACATCTTTTTTTTAAATTTGGATTTTATCAGAGCCTTCAATTTCATCTCCGTTGGTCTCCTTCTTCACAGTAAAGTACAACGATTACAGGTTTTGTGCCACCAAGCCCCAGATGATCCTGCACACACCATTTGTCACACCAGCATGAAGATATGACCACCTGAAAGTCAGACTGTCCCTCACCTGCCTCAACAAGCTGCACATACTGTGTGCAGTGTGCACGCCTATGGAGGGGGGAAAGCCACCACAACCCAAACCTCTTCCTTAAGAATCAGATGTGCAATTTTGGTGTCGTTAAAAGGAATACAACAGGGTGGCGAATTATAATGTCTGCTAATATAAAAAGGGACTAGCCAATTAGTATTAATGAGAATGTTTAAGCAAGAGCTGCTAGGTCAAGCCATCCTGAGCTACAGACATAATGAGTCTTGACAGAAGCCAGTGAAGAGTAAAAGCTGGGGGACAACTCAGACAATTCAAATCCCTTATTGTAAATCTACTGATACAGGTATGTAGCCATGGAGAACGCAGGCAGCACATTTGCATGAGCCCTGGGAACAGAGGGGACTCCTCTGTTAGAGGGCTGAAGGCAGGGATGGGCTGCTGTGGCAACAGACTTGAGGTCTGAACAGCTCCTTTGCAATGGGACAGAAATAAGCCATATTCTCCAAAGATGATACTCACCCGGGTGGGCAGTCCAAGCACTCATGGAGGCTTCTCAACCTGCTCACATTGCTGTAAGTTCCTGGAGGACAGGGGAGAGGTGAGGGAGAGCCAGGAGGGCAGTATGCCCCAGCAGGACACACGTCTCCTGTCACACCATCGGTGGGCAACTGAAATTGAAAAAGGCATCATTCAAAAAAAAGGAATAAATGGGGTTAAAATATTTTAGGCATCATACTGATTTGGGCCCAAGGCAGTAAAGAAAAGAAAAACAGAGACATACTCTGTTGTACAGAGAACAGACGATACCTACTTAAGGGAAACGTAGCAAACACAAAAAGAATAAATATGGATGACCTTTTTACACTAGCAATCCCACTGTGATTCACACCCGCTGAACTTTTCACCTAGTTACATTTTTAGTTAAGGGGGTGGTGTTAGCGTTGAGAAGAAAAAATATGACGTGGTTACCCTCCCTCAGAGGGCAGCACAAGTGGTCCTCCTGCCATAAACTTGAGCGTGAGTCATAAAATTGTGACTCTTGAAGTCACTAGGTTAATAAAAAAGCAACACAGGGGAAAAAAAAACCCAAAACAAACCAAAAAACAACAAATCACACACAGAGTGGAGCACGGTTAGATAAGGAGAAAAACTTGCCACGTGACTTACTGGAGTCAGGGCCCTGCCCTGGCAGTAGAACCCCGCCTCGCAGGGACCGCTTGGCCCAGTCTGTCCTGGAGCTGCACAGTAGTGGCCACGGCCACAGGGATGGCACCCCGAGAGCTCAGACAGCCCCTTCTTGTCACTGTACGTACCCTCCGGGCAGGGCTCGGGTTTCGAGCTGCCCTTGACACAGTAGAAGCCCTGCCAAACAAAGCCAGCTTAATACAGCAATTAAAGCTCTTCTATTAAATAGACCCCCACATCCCAGCTCCTTACATTAAAGAACCAGGAGGGGACTACTTACTGCTGGGCAAGGTTTGGGCTCTGACATGGCTGGAGAGTCACAGTAATACCCGGCTGGACACGCTTTGCAAGCGTCCTTATCCTCTAAACTGGAATTATCCCAGAAGAAACCTGGCATACAGGGGAAGGAGAAGGGGAATCCAGTCCCCAGAGGGCAGTTATAGCCGGGTGGGCAATCCCCTGTCTGGAAAGCAAAACACAGAGTCAGGCATGGCTTTGTGGGCTTTTTCTGAGTAGGGAAGAGGAATCTGATAAGATTCAACACATAAAGATCCAAGCTTTATCCACAATTTGAATAATCCACAATTTTTTTTACTGCAGGAAAATGAGGTAGAGAAGGGATGGAAATTCACAGTCTTATCAGGAAAACTCTGACCATGTAGAATAATTACTGCAGGTGGGATTTTTAAGTAAAATCTTGTCGTTGAGACAGACCCTACACACTGCCTGTGCAGTTGTGGGGAAGATGCTCTTTTTCTTTTCTGCACTTGGAAAAAGATCTGTAAGTGAAATGAGTTATCACCTCGCTCTCAAATAGAAGCACGGATTCATCCACGTTGAAGAGAATCCAACTACACTTTTTACTCTTAATAAAGGCTTCTTTTTTTTTTTTTTTTTAACAGCTATTACAATTTGAAGAGTTCACTCCTTCCAGAGACAAGACAATCACAATGAAAGATCCCCAAACTCATTAGAGACAGAGCAGCAACCAATTCTTGACCTTTGAACTCTCTTTCATAGCCTGCATTAACAGGCACAAGGCAAAGTAAAGACAGAAAGCATACATTAAGGCTGCTCCATTAACAGTTACAGCCCTTGGAAAAAAAAAAAAAAAAAGAGTCAGGAGAAACAAGACTGTACTCACAGGGTGGGGAATTCCTGGAGGCTCGACTCCAGCTCTGTAGCAGTACTTCCCCACGGGGCATGGTGAGCATTCAGCAGCACTGCTTAGACCCCTCTGCTCTCCGTAGGTTCCATTTGGGCAAGGCTTAGCATGCAAGCCCTCAAAATGAAACCGAAAAATGGGTCTTTAACTTACTAATAGGACTGCTGCATCCCACAAGGCAAACGTACAGCAGCTGAAGCTGTGAAAGTGTTTCTTTACAGTAACTGGGCACAAACACTGAAAAGTGACACAAGGAATTGGGTGTGAATGCTGAAAAAATGGCATGATAGAATGGGGATCCAATCTTCTGTATTGTATATGGCATCTCAGAAAATGTTATCCCAATATTACATACAGTTTTACATAGGGCAAATACTGCTAAGATCTGTGAACACCCAAAGAGTACAGAAATCGGTAAAAATAATATTAGGAAAGTCTCCCATATCAAGACTAATGCCAGTGCCGACGTGATGAGAGAACTGTGAATCCCAAGGACCAAAGCAGATTCACTTACCTTATCTCCCTGGGGGCAGTAGTATCCTCTTGGGCAGGCATTGGCACTGGCATCTGGAACAACCGCCTGTCCTTCCGGGCACAGGAGACCCGCTGGGCAAACCATGGCCAGCAGCATCATCTCCCGGCTGGTGTGCTCACTGGCACAGTAATGTCCCATCAGACACGGCAAGCAGGAGGCTGAACCTTGGTCCTGCAACATGAAAGGCATGAGGTTCCGATTCTAGAGAACAAAAGAATCCCTGCACATTCGACAAGCCGTGTTGAAGCACAAAACAAAGGAAAGGAACGCAACCAACTCTACAGCAAACATCACCAGTAAATAAAATGGTCCATTGACCAAAGACATTGCCCTTGAGGACTGATGACAGGGCCCTCCCTGCTCTTATCAAACATTCCCCGTTAAGCTCTTCTGTGGCTCCATCCTGTTGTTTTACCTTCCAAAGCCAACGGATAGCTTAACTCCCTCACAATCAAATTCTTCCTTTTGAGCAGGAACTAAATACAGGTGTCTGCTCTCTGCCAGGGTAAAATAAATCATGAAACCCCAAAGTATCTCCCCAGCTACACACTGCCAGGCACAGGCCCGCTGTACTTTGATTGCTAGTGCAAGCCCCTGGGGGGAGGATAACAGCAGGAGCAGTATTGCACATGCGATATGTACTTTTAGCATCATGTCTGGAGCAGCTCCAAACCTCATTTTTTAGGGACATTCCCAGTCCCTTCTCTAAACGTTCACTCCTTACTTGTAGGGTCAAGCCCAGGTGGCCAGTATTGTTTAAAACACTGCACCATCACCCCCCATACTCAGACTCATCGCGGAAAGAGATTGGCTCATTCCAGCGCCTCCTCCGAGGTGCTTAAAGCCTCAACCTCCCCTCGAAGTGCCCCTTTCTGCCAAAATTCATCCCCTATGCTGAACAGCTGCCAGGATAAAGTTACTGCTCCTTACTGAGAAGTTGCCAGCACCACACGTTTGAGGAGTAACCGTGCCAAGCTGAGGGCAGTAATGCCCTCCCGGACAAGGGGCGCAGTCTGCAGCTGCCATCGCACCATGCTCCGTGCGATAGGTTCCTCTGCAGGAGAACACACAACAGAAGGGAGAGAGTCACAAACAGCAGTGCCAAGAATCACAGAACGGTTTGGGCTGGAAGGGACCTTAAAGATCACCCAGTTCCACCCCTTCCACCAGCCCAGTCCAACGTGGCCTTGAACCCTTCCAGGGAGGGGGCAGCCACAGCTTCTCTGGGCAACCTGGGCCAGGGCCTCACCCCCTCATAGGGAAGAATCTTTTCCTTATATTTAATCTAAAACTCCCCTCTTTCATTTTAAAACCATTACCCCTTGTCCTATCCCCACACCAGAGTCCCTCCTCCCTTTCCTGCAGCCCCTTTCAGCCCTGGGGGCCCGCTCTAAGGTCTCTCCGGAGCCTTCTCTTCTCCAGCTGAACCCCCCAACTCTCTCAGCCTGTCCTCACAGGGGATGCTCCAGCCCCCCGAGAATTCTCGTGGCCTCCTCTGGACCTGCTTGAGCGTGTCCATGTTCTTAAAAGGACAGTGCACTTCTGGTCTGCATTCTTAGTCTTGCATAGAGGAAAGCTATCATTTCCGGAGCCAAACATCTGTCTAATTCACAAAAAAAATCCGTTAACGTGCAAGGTGAGAAAGATATTACTTAAAATCAGAGGTGTTCTGAAAAAGCCATGTCGAAATATTTATTTTTGTACTCACGTGACTACTGCAGCACGTGTAGTGTACTTACACAGGGCACAGGACGGGCTTGGAGGTCCCACTGGCACAGAAGGCTCCCGCAGGGCAGGCAGCACAATCCCCCACTCTGCCGTTCCCCAGCCTGGTGCTGTGAGTTCCTGCAGGGCAGGGGTACTGCGTGCCCCTCTGTGTACCTTCCCCCAAAAAAAGAGGAGAGAACCATCCTAACCCTTAGTACACCCTTGAGGACAAAAGGCAGTAAGGCCCTCTGCTCTTTCTTGTCATTAAATATTTACAGGAGTCACATATAAATACATATTTATATAAATAAAAATCACAGCTCGGAGAACAGCAACAACAAAATCACCTTTTAGCAAATATGTGCAGAATCTATGCAGGAAGTTTCAAATTTAGAATTGTGCTTGTACCAGACACTTGATTATGCATTTTAATTCTTTGCAAATTAAGGGAAAGAAAATAACGACACCAACCATGCTCAGTTCAAACGTTATAGATTTAAAGTATTGACTACACGGAATGGACAATTTGCTATTGAACTCCACACTGAAATACTTTGGTGAAAAAAAAAAAAACAAACCCAAACAAAAACCAACTGATCAAGTCAATGTGTGACCCTATCGGAGTCCACAAAATCTCCAAAGACAGAAATGAAGTAAATCCCCTTCGTTCCTGCAAAAAGCTGCCTACCTTGTGGGCAGTAGTGCCCTGAGCTGCACATCCCAGTAGGGCTACTGGCCCCTCCTACACAGAACCAGCCCGCAGGGCAGGGAGAGCACTCCTCTGCTGAGATCAGGCCCGTCCTATTGCTCCAGGTGCCCGGGGCACACTTGTGCTGCCGCGGGTGCTTTGTGCCTGCTGGGCAGTAGTGACCGACTGGGCACCGAGTGGGAGGCTTCTGCCTCCCCCCTGTTCCTGTGAACACAGAGACAAATTTAAGAGAAGCGATGTAGCATCCTGGCTTCACGCAATCCAGCTCTCCTTCTGTTTTTAGCTGCTGCTTGATGACCCCGAGTTAAGTCTTCTCCTTGTTTTGCACCTTTCCTCTATTTAAAATGGGATAATAATAATTACATCCTCTGTTGATGAGAGGCTCTACCACAGAACTGGTTACCAAAACAATTACTCACTGACTCAGATATCCTGCCCGGTGCCCCTGTCCAACGCTGCCACAGACATTAAAGTGAAGAGGGCACCAATAACCTAAAAATTGTGAAGACTGTAAAAACTGTGAAAACAGTAGCCACGGGTGGCATAAAGAAAAAATTTCAGAGTAAAATTAAAACCAGCTTGTCCAGAGGCACAGCAGCCTCTGCAGGAATGCTAAAGGGCAACTTTTTTTAGCATTTACCATCATTGTGATACCTCACTGACCTGCTCCAGTACTCACTGGTGGGCTCTGTGATACTGGGTAGCAAAGAGCACAGTTTGCTTTGTCATAAAGCCACCTACCTCTCACACAGACGGATCCAGCTGGGCATATTTCACACTGGGACTTATCAAAGAGGTTGAAGTCATTGCCAACCGTGCCTGGAGGACAGGCGTTGCTGGGAAATTGAGGGCTGGATGACCCCGCTGGGCACACGTACCTAACAAAACACAGCAGGCTAGCTGGGGAAAATGTTTTGATGCAAAAGGGAGATAAACTCTGTGCCCTACCAGAGCATTAGGATGAATGCTGCAGCTGGGAAGAAGCTGAAGCACTTGATGCTGTGTCTGACAGCAATGTAACCGACAACCAATAATGCAGAAATACTGAAAACAAAACACTGTAAAGACACTGGTTGTGTCATACGTTTTTCACCAAAGGAAAAGTGGGTTATTCAGCCAGGTCATGCTGTTGATAACCATGGGATGCGTGGCCAGGCTTCATCTTTGTCTATTTTTACCACCTATGCTGCAGCAACAGCAGGCAGCAGTGCCTTCCACCAGAACAGGCTACGCCACCGATTTACCAGAAACTATGCTAAATCTTGAATTAGCAGAGGATGCCACCTGCACCTCCCTGTGCACAAAGCAAAAACAACGGAGGCAAAAATATATGCACAGTCATAACTAGAAGCACAGAAACCAACCAAGTCTTACCCTGGTAAGCACTCTGCGTCAGGCTGGACTAAGCCAGCCTGAGTACAAGCTCTCCCTGCTGGGCAGGCTCTGCAGTCAGCAGCTTCGTCCTGCCCTTGGAGAGGATTGTATGTACCTGGCTGGCACGGGACCGGATAACTTGCTCCAGCAGGGCAGAAATACCCAGCAGGGCACTTCAAACACAATCCAATTCCTGAAAAGGGAGAAGACGTTTAAAGTCCCAAAGGGAGCGTGGCCTGCTGACAAAACAGAGGGTCCTACAAAATACGATTCCTTTCCTTTCACCTACAGCAAGAAAGGATGATGGAGGTTAATTCATACCAACAATAAAGTTACTGCAAAGCCAGAAGGTGGTGGTGTTGGATTAGCTGAATGTTACTGCAGTGGAGTGGCTGATGGAAGCAGTAAAACCATCTGGACTGTGTTCTGAGCTGATAACGCAAGAAATGAGACACATTTTAAAATAAACAAAAACATCAGCCTGAAAACACACTCTGATGCAGGTATATTTAATCATCACAATGCTTCGGCCTCAGTTGTAAGAGATCCTGGAGTTTCTACAAAAGCTGAGCTCGTTTCCATGTTTGTATTCTGAATATACAGAGAGATGAACGGGTTTCACAGACTGGAGATAGACTCAGTACAAACACATGGATACCTGCTTGAATGACAACTAGTTTGAGATGTGATCATCTCTAAAATCCCGTGTGTTAAACAAAAGGTGCTTGCATTGTAATTTACAGGAATGCTGGAGCAAGATCAATACATAATAAAACAAGGATCCCTTAATGGTGTTACCATGTTTGTCTCATTACAAAATGCCCCCAAATGTTTCACTTAGTGCAAAGGAAACACAAATTTAGCGCGGGAGTGGTTGCTAACCTCCTGCGTCAGGCCTTTCGACAGCACAAAGCAAATAGAGCAACTCAGGGGGAAGGAAAAACAGAGGTGGGTGATGATGGCTCCCTGGAGTACTTCCAGGGTGAACCCCCGCTGCCTTCCAAATGCTTGTCAAGGCTCAAGCATATACTGGTGTGCACCTGCCTCTGCAGGCTGGGGTACAGCCTTACAGCACCCCCAGTATGATCAGGATTTATTAAAATCCACAGATTGAAGGTGTAGGTCCAGATTAGGGGTGCAAAGCAAGTTTAAGGGTCATCCCTCACCCTCTGCCTTCTGCCCACTTGCTCATTCCCACCTCTCAGAAAAATGTCATTATTTCCTCCTATTTACTCCACATGGCATGGATGAACACAAGCTTCAAAAAAAACCTCAGTAGGACAAGCTTTGGCTTCCTTAAGACTATAAAATTCCACAGCTCTGAGCACAGCAACTGAATCAACACACCTGAGGGGGGCTGCAACCTCATGGAGCTGCGGGACGCTTTAAAAATTGCCTTAAGCTGCCAAAAGCTTCACGATGTGGAGCTGCACCCTTAGCAAAGCCAGCAGCACTGCCATTTTGTATAATCAGCATCCGTGCCACTCGGCCACAGGGACATCAAATTTCTATTTCCTGTCCGATTTCTGGAGATGATGGTTCCCTTTGGAGTTCAGAACAGACTTAATAGCGTGGCTGCCTGGACACTTTATACAAGATCAGTCAGGGCACGGATTTGCAGCACGGTATCCATTGTCTACCAGGCTATCACGTGGACTTGCCTGTAGTAAATGTAACACAGACAAACTTGGTTTCACTGCGGGGTGAGTATGTCACACTTAACAGGCTGTAGTGCAGATGGTGGACGCCGGCTAATACCATACGAGCCATCATCTGCCTCATGGTGTTATACTTGAAATATTCTATGGCTTGTCACAGTCTATTCATGTGTCCCCTGCCTGGTTTACAGCAGGCATTGTCCTGCCTTTGCCAAGCATTCCTTAGGAGAGCTGACAACATCGTTATATAAAGTAGCGCAGGCATGGCATAACAGCTTACGTTATTAAGCCAACAGAGTTTTTAAACTCTGATTTACTTTGCAGCTCCTACAGTGTTTGTTCGGGTGCCACTGGCCCTGTCTCTTGGATTCTGCTGTCTTGATGAAATGTGAGGTTTGTTCCTCGCTGCACCACGTAAACGCACTTCTGGTTTTAATTTCAGAGTGGGCGGAAAGCAGCAATTTCCTCGACTTAACTAGTGAGTAAAAAAAAAAAAAAAAAAAAACAAGTCAAGACACTTTAGCAGCTGAGTCATTGGCTAGAAAAGGAATAATCCAATAGAAAAATGTATGGGTTGATTTGAAGGAGATAATTATTTTCCTAGCACATGTACCTCTCTGAGGGGAAGAGCCCAGTAGATGTAAATGGAGACTGAGCAACTGAACTCTGGGTTGCTGCTCCTAGCAGGGCACCTGGTGATCTGTGACCCTGGACAAAACATTCTGGACTTGAGCCAAGGTTTACTTTAGTGAACTGAGCTCATTCCCTGAATCTCCCTCTGACTCTATTTTCTCGTTTGTACAGACCTGTTAAGGAGAAAGAGGCATTTTTTTATAGCACCGTGAGAGACACTGAGATACTCTGAAATGTTCAAAACCAGGCAGAATTAGCCCCAGCAACATTTGACTGCTGCTGCAAAAAGCCAGATTTCCCTTTTCACACCTAAGCAAAGATCTAGTGGCAGAGAAGACTTTAGCAATGCTCTATTATTCTGTCCTTTTAAATTCATTTATCCATTACTAACTTGCAAATTCTAGTCACTTCCAACAAGCTTCCCAATCATTAGCGTGACTCAGTCCTACTCTATGCAAACCAAAGTTCTACCCATTTCAAAAAAATAAACCAAACCAAAATTATTTAGAAAGAAACATCACAGAAAACAGAGCTGGAAATCTATGGAAGCCTCATGCCTACCTCCTTACATGCATTTCAAAACATTACAGGCTGCTTCGTCTACTTGGCATTTTAGAAACTCTTAAGGGCAGGGCTTCTACGGCTTCTAAAGGCATAAATTCTAGTGATGTTTTACTGGTATAAGAAAAAATGTTTTGCTTAATCTGTAACTTAATTTCCCCTTGCTGCGAGAATGGGCCAGGGACTGTTGTGATTGATTCATACACATACAAATAAAGAACCCCTTTCCCAAAGGGAAAGCGTACAGTCAGCTTACTTTAATTATGTTAGTCCTCTGTTCCAGTCATAAAAGAGCTTGAAATGAGTCTGTGTTGCAGCACAACACATCTCAAAGTTAACTAAGAGTTCTAAAAAAAGCATCTCGCATGTAAAAATGACGCAGTTGAATAAGCTTTAACAACAGGTGAGTCTCTGTCTTTGGCTTCACAGCTGACCTGTTGGATGACTTGAGCACAGGATTTCAGATTGCTCCTTGATTTTCCGTCCTTCTTCTGAAAGTACTATAATCCCCTTTTCCCTCCTATTACAACCTCTTTGCAATCTCTGTACAGGGCAGATCTCTAAATAAATACCAGGGTCCATACCCAGAAAGGCCGTTCCGGTGAAATAAGGGAATTGCAAAGCGCTTCTGGATGCAACAGCTTTGTAATTCCCAAATGCTTCACCACAAATCTGGTGCCTCGTAGGAGATTCCATGGGTGTTCCTTTCGTCCAGAGCTCTAGGACTGCCTGAGCCAGAGCCTAGTAATACGTAGTGTAACTGCCAGCCCCTTCACAAGAATGGTGCATACAGCAAGAATGATTACCCCCGCCATCCACAAATGAAGATATTTTATGGCACAGACCTGGCAAACACGAGGAGCTGCTGCTGGGTGTCTGAAGTCCCTCTCTGGGCTTGAAAGTCCCTGCTGGGCATGGAGGGACTGCAAGGCCGTCAAAGCAGAAGTGACCTGTGGAGGAGAAGAAAACAACCTGTGGTTCAGAAACAACATTCTGCACGACTCAGACTCGGAGCGGAGTAGCGGTGGGTCTCTTGATGCTGATGTGTGCGTGCATGTTGTGGGGACAAATGGGAAAGCACAAGTATTTGCTGGCTAAATCGTATCAGGGTGTATAAACGCTGCACCCTGAAGGCAGACATGAACGTGCTCTGATCTGGCAGGATACAAACCACCTCCAAAGTAAAACCGATTGTGTCAGCGTAGTACTCCGAGCTAAAACGCTGTCCAGTTGAAAAGGATTTGTTAGTACAAGCTCAAGGCAAAGCTAAGCTGGTAGTAGTGACCTAAAATAAAGCAGATGTTGGGTGATACAGCACTACACAGTTTCACAGAGTTGATTTAAGCTTTGTGCACTCAAAAGCGGCCGAGACTAGGATGGTCCCTGGAAAGCTGGTACACTGCTGATGAAAACAGCCTCCAACCTGCATAGGATGGCTGGTCGGTAAGTGTGCTTGCTTTACTCACGCATTAAAAGGGGTTTATACCTAATGGCAGGTTCATTTAGAAACAAGGAAAGGCCATTCCAGTAGGCTGTTTCAAAATAGTCTTTCACAGCAGCGAGCAAAATTGAGTAATAGGGGAAGTCAAAGATGGATAAGCCTCGCCCATTCGCGTCTGTCTGCCCCTTCAATTCCAACCCTTTTAGTCGCTAAGTCAATATATCATCAGCTAAATTGGGGGCAAGGGCTATCTCTAGAGGAAGCGAGGGAACCTGCTCCAGAAAAGACATTTTAAGATGTTTAAAGCACTTGAACTTTCGAAAGGTCAGTGCATTAAATAGACAAAGGATCTTCCTGTGTTTACACCAAGAAAAGTCAAAGCTCAAGCAGCACAGGGCAGAAATCCAGGAGCATCACTTTCTACTAGAGCTAACCAAGAAAAAAATTAGAAGAAAGCTTTAAAACTCAGTAATACTTTCAAACTTCAGGTTTTTAAGTTTACAAATCATTTTAAGCATTTATCGCAAGTTGGGGGAAAAAAAAAAAAAGGGGGGGGGTTTTACAGAATTTTACATTTTTGTCTGGGTTTGCTTAATTTTGAATGAACATTTTCCTTGAGATCTAGAATTCCAATAGCATTTCAGTCAGCTCTTGCTTGTTGAAGGCTGCCATTTAAATGATTGACTGTTTTTTTATCCAAGAACATGCTCATTTCACAAAAACAAACAAAGCTGCTGTAAAGACTATTTATGGCTCGGTTCTGCAATATAAGCAGACACACATGGACATAATCAAAGAAAGAAAACAGCAGCCCACTCTATTTATTTAAAAGCAGGACATCACACATAACCCAAATCTTTTATGTTTTAGAAATTTTGACAAGATTTGGAAAATAAATTCTCATGAATTTCCTGTCTAAAAATGTTTCTTCCTTGTGTAAAGCTGAGCCAACAAAGAAAATTCAAGTCTTTAACACATCATGACATTTTTAAATGCAAAACATAGAGTGAACTTTCAAGTTACACATCCAAGTTAGTTTTATTAGCATCATTAGAGTTAATCATTCTCTCTTTCTACTCCAATTCTTCTATTCTTTCCATGATCGTGGAGATTAAAGATCAGCTGAAGTGTTCCTGCTCTAAGCACCACATTCCTCTCCCCTGTTCAGTACACCATATTTCACTTGAAATCCTTCTGTCAGTTGTATATTTAGTGAGGAAATGCTCATCTCCAGCTAGAATTAATTACGCTTTCCAAGTAGGATTTTGTAGAACTTGATTATCAAATGCTTTACTAAACTCCAGATGGATATTTGAAGAGTGGGGGAAAAAAAAAAAGGAAAAAAAAAAGGATTTAACTGTGGCATGGAAGTGCCACTGCTATGCTGAAATATATGGCTATGTATCAGCATGGCAATGACGCTTCATTCACACGCACGCAGTGCTAAGTACACAGATTATATATATCATTAAAGTCAGTCAAACTGTGGGAAAGAACCGTGGAAAAGATGGGAATCCTCAGGCCTCTCCTGCTTGTGATGGTATCCCGAGTCCTTACCATCTAAGGGTTTTGTAACGGGCTGGAGGATTTATTCCCATTTAAGAACACAAAAGGGACTAATTTTAACGCCGAAGCACCGAATTTCACCCTGGGATACTCTGCATATATTTAACCTGTTGATCGTCTACTGGGAGATTTTCACTTGCTCTCTCCAGGTTTGGGGGTTGCTATACTGGAGGTGAAACCTGGTTGCAGCTTTCGGCTGATCTCGTGCTATAAACAATCTGTCACTCAAATCCATGCCCTAACGTGGCCCTATCTGTTCACTTGTTCAATTGTTGGATTAAGTACAATTCATAAATACTTCCCTAAATCCGAAGAAGCCAACATTGCCTGATTTTTATTTTTATTTTTTTTCCCTTTATGGAGCCACAATTAGTTCCCTGGCCCTCCACAGAGCACACTAAGCAATAAGGGTATTATGATACACGTCCACAAAACCTCCATCACTTCCCATGTATGACTGACCCTGCGAGGGATTAATTATTTGCTATTCATAGCTAACCCCAGGCACTGGAAATAAGACAAATCCCTCTGTTCTGTTCTCTCACCTTTGTATTATAACTGGATCTAAACTTCGGAGATTTTGGTCTAGCGCGATCTTTTTAGGTACTCCATTTCTCCTTCTACTGGGTAATGTGTAAGGTACCCAGAGTGCAGGAACTCTTTATTATTTAATAAGAAGTATTCTAATTACGGACATAAGAATCAAGTTACTGAGTTTAGTGACTGTAGGAGGCACCTGGAATTGTTCTGTTCATTAAATAGTTCATCTTCACATACAGTACAGGGCTTACAGGAGAGAGAAAAGTTTGGTAGGACTGCAGATCAGGAAAGGCACCCCTGGAGTGACATTAAATACCCTTTTACAGATTATATATAATTAAAGTCAGTCAAACTGTGGTAAAGAACTGTGGAAAAGCTGGGAATCCTGCTCACCCCGTAAGGTCTTTTGCTAGGGTTCAGCTGGGTTAGGAAATTAAAGTCTAAGGGTACGTGGAGGGAATTATCGGCAATACTGCTGCTATCTGCAGCACCAAAAGCTTTTCCTCTTACCAAGTACCGCATTGAAGAGTGGAAGAGAAGTTACATGGAGGGCCTCGGAGGGGTACTAATGCAGCACACTGTCACAAGAAACCAGCACAACGGAAAGTTCACCTTGGGCTGCACCAAACCCTCACCAGGCTTATACTCGCGCTCTGGGATGGATAAGGGACATGCCAGGACTTAAATGCAGCAAATTACTCCGTGGGGAAACTATGCCAAGCAGCCACTGGGTACCAGAACAGCTTAACCTGCACTCTCACTGAAGAGTGGCAGGCTACCAGCCTGGGCAAATACAGAGCTCTGGGGTTTTGTGTCAAGATTATTCACAAACAGCAAGGACTCACAGAATGTAACTTAAGGTGGCTTCCTGAGTTACTCCATTACTTCTTCCGATAGATGTTTTTGGCTAATTAATCATGTGAAAATACATTCTATGCCTGTCATAATTTCAAAAGATAATAGTTTTGCAACAAAAACCTAGTCCCTGCTAGTCTGTTCCCCTGCTGCCTAATTCTGCATCAACATCTCAGTGAGGGTTTTGTGACACCCCGACGGCACACTGCAATTTCCTAAAAGTGGGCTTATCTGGATTTCTTTGGCAGTATCAAGCAGAAAGAAAAATTGGGTGAAAAAAAGTGTCCCTCTCCTTATTTGATTCCTAATGCTTACAGCACCCACTATAAATGGGTGTTTGTGATGACCGGTGAGTCAAGGTCCTGAAGTGCAGAAAGCTATAACTGTGTGTGAATCGATTTTACAGATGATCAGTTAAAAATCAGAGAGAGAGAGGTGCGCTCTCTGTGTGGAAAAAGAAAACAAAAGCTTCCCTCATTGCTCAGCAACACTTGCACGCTCAGACACGTCAGTTGATGTCCCAAGGCTACATCAGCTGGACCTCTCCCATAAACCCAGCAAGTGTGCCGACTACCAAACCCAGCTGTGATTCTCGGTGTTCTCTTATTCTCATGTTCTGCTTTTCACGAACTCTTCTGAATGGCACCTGCTTTATCTCAGGAACTATTTTTTAACCTCTAGTTTTACTGTAACACAAAGAGCCCGTCTCTGTTCCAAATACAGCCAGCTAAGTTTTACCGGAAGAAAGTGTCATTTCAGTCTCCTTAAGTTCTGTGCTTTAATGACTGCAGAAGCTGTTCGTGAGATGTACATACCTGCTGGGCAGGGCTGGCATAGCAGAGCATCTTCGGTTGAGAAGGATCCAGGAGCACAGGTCACACAATGAGTGCGGCTTGGATTTGGCTGCTGACCAGCCAAACAACGCTGAGGGGAAGGAACACAAATTCATACCACCAGCAGGTCTGGGGGCCGTTGCTGCCCAGAGCTGTGTCCTGAGGAGACTCGAGTCAGGAAAAAGCCCAGCACCACATTCTACCTCATGCTTCCTCCTTCTCTGCCCCCTCCTCCCTTCCCAGCTCCATTCTGCAGGGATGATTTCTAGAAGAAAAATGGTACTTCAGGCTTCAAGTCCTCGGCTGAGGGTTTTAATGGTGGCAAATAATCTGAGCACTAACGTTCTCAGAATACAAGAAATATTTATTTCTTTTAATACAGACCACTTGTGGAAGGTTTTAGATCTACGATACCACTGAAGGGTTTTGAATGCGTTCCCTCGATGAACAAAGGTCCGTATTCTACTATTGAACCAGGAAAGCCTGTCTTCTCTTGACAATACGTTCCTGTTCAGGCCCTGCCTGTCCAAAAGGAAGTTTGCCCTTGGAAAACAACATGCTCACTGTGTACCTGTCTGCTCCGTCCGTCCGGGCAGACATACATCTCCGGACATTCCTGACACTCCAGCTCTCCCTCCGGTGAATACTGCCCAGGACCGCAGCTCCTCCGCACGCCACTGTGTGGGTCACACCGATAGCCATCGGGACAGGCACGGCACCCAGCTCCGCTCTCTAGGCTGAGGTAGCCGTCGGGACAAACCTGCAGCGAGATCACAGCGAGCATCAGCTCCACAGAAACATATTCTTTGCATGAATAATGCAAACCAGCAGTTTCAGACATCCTCAGCTCAAGTGCCAGAAAGAAAGGATCTTGGATCGTTTTCAAAATCCGGCCTATTACTCTCGAGAGCTCCCAACATATGTTTTTTACTGTCAATGGTGTAAACAACACATGGAGGGAGTACTGCTTGCTCTCTACCTGGAGGGAAAACCTGCTTTCTCGGAGGCAAATCAGAGCCAAACACAATGCAGGAATTTCCTAAAAATAAAAAAATTCAAAGCAGACTAGAAAAGCTGGGAAAAAGCCTGAAATTAAATGATTCAAAGTACATGGTAGTAGAGGCAAAAAGTACTACTCCACCTACTTGCTCTCCTCCCTTGTCCTTCAGCTTACCTGGCAGGCTGTGATGTCTGCTTGAGCAGTAAGTTCATTGGCTGTTCCCAGCGGGCATTTCCTTGGAGCTGCTTGACCCCCAGGGCAACTGGAACAAAAATAAAGAAGTTACAAAATCAAGTTGTTCCACTTCTTCAGAACTGCATCCCCTACCAAGTCAACATGAGCGTTGTATAGGTACGGGAACATCCTCCTCTCCAACTGCTCAAACAAATGCTCTTTCAGCCACAGCAGCATGGATTCAGACCAGAGCCCTCCAGATCCTCAGAGGGTTCTGTCTCGTACATAGGAGCTCAGGGTGCATCAGTCGGGCTGCACACACAAGAATTCGTGGTGGGAGATGTGGTAACCTGAATTTAGGGTTCAAGACAAGTTTGTACAAAACCTGCCTTTTGTAAATCTGGTTTGGAATCGTGTCTGAAAACTCCTCAGTGACCACTTCTGCTTTCATTTCAAATGAGCCATGTGTGGCGGAGAAAGCAGTCTTAGTGATTTTCTTCTGAGGAAGACAGAGCACATTGGTGATGAAAGGAGGAGACTTACTAGAAACCTGTTGGACATTCCAAGCAGTTGCCAGCTGTGTAGTAACGACCCTGCCTGCAGTTTATGGGACAGTGGGTCTGGCAGTCTGTGCTGCAATCTGGTGAGAAGGAAGAGGTCCCTAAAAGAAAGCAAAAAAAATTAAATTTAAGGGACACCGAACATTTGAGACTCCTAGCTAAATGACCAGTTATTATTAGGCCATAATGTAATATTTGCACAATTTTGTCACGGGTGTTAATGGCACTAGTACTACCTAGACAATAACTTTTGCTATTAAGAACAATTCTTTTCCTTTATAGACAAGTGCTGTTTGTGAATGGGACAGAGCATCCCACCAGTTAGTGACTGAAGAAGAAACAGGACATTAATCTAACCTACCTTGTTAAGGAAGCTGAACCAGAAAATACTTAGGTTCTACAATCAGATAAGCTCCTTGTTATCATTATTAGTGTTGCACTTGCATGAATTAATCTGACTTCTCAAAGGCACACAGAGTGTACCGAAGCTGGAAATAAAGCTGAGTTCCTGGGTTTTCCACCCATCAACGCTATTTCCCTGACCTATCACATTCACTCCTAAATTTTGGTGACTAAAATTAAGGAAAGTTATCTCTTCCCGAATTAAAATCTGTTCCCTTAAGATTTCCAGGTAAACATTCTGAGCACAAATTTCAGAGTGGAAATCCCAATTTCAGATGCTTTATCAAATGAAACCAAGTACCCTCTGTGGGTAGCAGGGAGCCTTCTCCATGTCTTTATCAACTTTTGAAAAGGTCATATTTTATTTGCCGGAAAGTTGAAATCCTAAATTTTCAAGAGAGGGCAAACAGCACAGTCTGATGGAACGAGCCAAGGGATGCTGAGTAATCTCGACCAAGATGCTACTTCTTTCTCTGCTTCAGTTATCCAGGCTAAACAGTAAAAACATTTTCACCAATCCCGCTTTAGGAAGTCTCTTAACATCACATTCTACAAGAGAAAGGTGATAAATACTGGACAAAGAGTAAGATACATGAAACCTGGACTTAAAAAAAATGGAATGAACACTGAGTTCCTATTTCCCTTTTTTCATTTCTTACTTTAATTTTGCAATCCTATTAGATTTAGATTCTAGCATACCGCTGTCCGAAATAATTCCTTTTTTTCTAAAAAAAAAAAAAAAAAAAGTGAGCTTCACTATGGTAACAGCAAGGATTTCACATGAAGTTCTTCACGAAGGACTTTCTCTGTGTGCCTGTGGCTGAGCAACAAGAAAATGAGTGTGCAGGGTGGGGAGGAAAGTTCCAGGATTTTTTTTTTTTTTTTTTTTTCTAATCTGTTCCATACTCAGGTAAGTATCTTGATATTATTACAACCTGAAAATACTGACCTGTTTAATTTTTTTTCCCCTCTCTTTAGAAAATTAAAATCTCTTGGGGAACACATCCCCCGCCTCCTTCTCTACCTGTTGTCTTCCCTGAATGAATTCCTAAAAAAGATTGTGCTGTTGAAAGAATGCCAGCCATGCTCGTCAGTTTATGACCAGAATGAATTAAACAACTGCCATCTCTAATGCCTTATAGCTTTCAGAAAGTAACAGCATCAGCACCCATTAAAAACACAAAAATAAAAGAAAACAAAAAAAGACGTCTACTTGTAGGAAACAGTTACCCACTCACCTCTCAGGAAGATCTGAAGGCTACAAAACAAAGTCAGGCAACTCAAAGCATTAGCCATGGGGACAAATAAACATGTCTTTATTAAAAAAAAAAAAAAAAAAAAAAAAAAAAAAAAAAAAAAAAAAAAAAAAAAAAAAAAAAAAAAAA